TTGATGCCTGATTCATCTGATGCTTGCACGTCATATCAGTACAGTTGTGTCTGATATGTTACATGTTTTTCTCTCTCAGTCTGCCTCTCTGCCTCTGCACTGAATTTTCTCTTCAGTGGATTACAAACAGTGTAATTGGGTTAAAGAGCCACATGGACCAGTAACCGTTGCACGAGCACGCTTTTGTTAGAATCCATCAAACCTGCTACAGAACTATGGAAAGTCAACCAAAAAAAAAAACTCACACACACACACACTGAACTTGTATTACTAAATAACAGTAAGGTAAAAGCATATCTCCATGCGGGTGATTAGATTGATTCTGAAGCTAAAGACAAATAAAACAAAAATGTGAATCAGTGCGAGGTTACAGCAGAAGACGAGGGGATGCAAGAGAAAAAACAAGATCCTACAGACCACAGAGATGTTGGCTGTTAGGATTCATTTGATGATGATATCTTGGAAAGATTAAAAAACCAAAGAAATTTGATTTGATGCAGATCTCCAGTTTGTTTTAATACCCAAATCAAGAACACACTTTCATGAATAATGTTGCAATAGCAGAGAAAAAGCAGGTCGTACGCCCTTATAAGTGAATATCAGCATGCAAACAGCCATGAGGTTTTAAGAGGGGCTCCCAGTCAATAACATTAAAGGAAACAATGTGGTAAAAAATATGTGTATGTGACATTAATATTATGGTTATTATAGTATGGCTTGTTTCAGTGAACTGAAAAAACAAAGCTAGACACAAGTCAAACAAACATTAACCGTACTTCACCTTGCAGCCCTCCTCCTCACTTTCTGAGTCCACAGACACAGTCAAACAAACACTGAGTCTGAACTATTTTAGCTTTTTTTCCATTGAATATAATTAGGTCATCTTTAAATGAAATTTAAATGGTGATGAAACAACTGGTGATAGCTAACATTTTGCTGGCTTTATCAACTGTTTCCAGCTCTGCAAGCATCACACTGTTGTTTATGTTAACATGGTAATAAACCTGAATGTTTTTCTTCTTTGCTGCAAATTCAAAACTTTGTGCAAGACAACTAGGGTATGCTGTAAACAGCTAAAAAACTATTAAATAGGAGCTTTAAAAGACAGTTTTAAGAGGTAGCAAGAGGCATATATTCCTCATGGAGGTTATAATAAAACGAAGAAGAAACACCTTCAACATTAAAGGTCCTTTGGGGAACTTTGTGTTTGAGGCTATTTTGGTGCCCCCTGTGGACAAAATGCTGACTTTTATTTCATGCTTGATGACGTCTGTAAATTGTGTCCTTGTGTTTCCAGCAAAAATCTCATCCTGGCATCTTTGAAGGTCTAAATTTACCACTCATCAAGTGTCTTTGCCAATGAAATTAAATATAAGCTTGCTTTATGCAAAGTGCTATCAAACACTTTGTCTGCGCCCAGCAGCAGTCTCCTGCTTTGGAAGGAACAGTACATAAATAATCATTGTTTCTTCCAGTTGTCCTTTGCTTTTGTAGCTCATGGAAAGGCATCAATTTGAAATTCTCTCACTTACATAACCACTCAAAAATTCCAGTAAGAAAATGTCAGCAATGAAAGTGAAACAAAACTCTATTATTTACTGAATTTATCTCCTTTTCTTCACAGTCTGAGTAATCTTCCTGAGGGTTGTTGAGAGCAGCTAACTGGTAGTTAATACTCCTAACTGAGGGAACTGAACAGGCCCGCTGTTGTCATTCCTTAGTGCTGAAGCGCTGTGCCATTACATTTATAGATTTTCTCTTTGATGGGATAATTTGGTCTTTATATCTCTCACAAATGAAGTGATCCTCAGTGCTCCTTGCACAGCTCAATGTGCAGGTCCCGTTTTCAAATACAGTTAATTGCATTTGAAAAGAATCAATGATACTTTCACGGTGACAATATCATTCTTTTAATGTCACTTAATTTCCTCAGTGAAATGATTACATCAATAGCCTGGAACCCATTTCTATCTTTCAGCATGAATTAATCTATTACGGACAATAATTACACGTTTGTAATGGATAGGTTTTTTGTGCTTGGTCGTAAATGCAGTCGAGTTTCCATTGTGCGCCTGGTTGTTGGCACTGTCCTGACTGTCATTCATTCAGTTTATGAATTACACTATCACCCCAGGATAATAAATAAATAAATAAAGGTACCCTTGCTGCAGCTCCTTGGTCGCCTTGTTGTGAAATAGCCCTCCCTCTAGTGGAGATGATAGAGTTGGTTTCTGCTGTCAGTTGGCTTCATGCTTTGCCCCACAGCTGAGGCAGTCAGTCAGTGATGGGGGATGTGAAATGTAGGAGGAAAAGCCTCTACAGTATGAGAAGAAACAAAAAATATGATAATGTATTCATTTTTTGTATTTTTTACTTAAGAGGGGCACTGGATGTTGAATGGAAAAATTATAAAGCTATAAAACTGATTTATTTCTAAATTCACGTGTCTTATTTACAGCAGATACACAGTCAAGCTCAATGGCCACTACAGGGGTGCTAGACTCAAACTTAACTCAATAAGCAGGCAAACAAATGAACTTTGTTTTGTTCAAATTCTCTATTTCATTCAAGGACTTTAGGCCTAGACAAAACTACTGTAGTAAACGTAAATTAAATCAAATTAGGTTTTGTGAACTTCCATAATTTGACATTTGTATCACAGGATTTGTGCTGTTTGCCATATATTCATCCATGGATTAATCCTGTTTGCCCTCTTCACGACTGTAGTGACCTGCTGTTTTCTCGGGTGAAAACACACACAGAGTTAGTGAGTCACAGAGACTAAATTAAAGCCTCTACCAGAATCAAAACAGAGGTAAGCACATGGAGGCACAGAGGAAGGATACAGTGCCTTAAAATGACAGTTCGCTCACAGCAATTCAAGAAGCAGTACGATTAAATTTAACATTCGTATAAAAAACATACGCGTCGAGTTGGGTGGTAATTTTTGACTTAGCTAAAACAAAGGTGGACTATCACAAGAAAAGAGACTGTAGCCTGCATTTTCATCCCTCTGTTCATCTTGAATCCCGTTTGACCCCGCTCACCCGGCTCCTGCTGCTGGTGGAGGTGTTTGGTTTAGCCACAGGGCGCGCGCCGGAGGAGGAGTTGATATTGTGGCTGTAGTGTGTGGCAGTGGAACGGCGCGCTCAGACGCACAGAGCCACGGCACCACCACCCACCACAACCTGGAGACACCACGGCTACAGTGCGCAGTGTGCAACCCGGGATGTGACATGACTTGTCCGAGCAAGGTACATGATACACTCGTTAACTTTGTGTCACACTTTAGAGACACATCGTTTCGTTTACTTTCTTACTTCAATGTTATTTTAAATTAAGTTTGACGCACCTGTGGCCTGCTACTGAAAATGACATCAGTGTGCACGTGCTATAAGTGTAATTGAGGCATGTACAGGGCAGTGCTGTACTGTACCTGCTCCTCTGGGAATGAGGTCTGAGTAACGTTATCGATTTGACCATTACTGAATGCATCATGAGCTTAAATATGGTGACACTGCAAGGCCTCGTTTTATCTGTTCATTTCAAGATAAATCTCGAGCGAAATTATTCAGACAACTGAAAATACAAATTGACTTATAAAAGGTTCACTTCTATCTTCTTCTCGCTCTTCCTCTTGATTATTCACTGTGACAGTACAGGCAAAATGAACATACTGTTAATAAAAGTGATGAAAGCAACGCCATCAAATTTAGGATACTTTGTGTTGTTTAAAGGCCAACTTTAGTTTAATAGAAAAGTTTTGTTTATGTTTAATTTGCACTATATTATACAGAAAAACGAATAAATGACTGTATCAGTTAAGGACAAAAACAGATGTATCTGTCAAATCAACCTCAAACCACTACAATTGATCATTCAGCTTGAAGTTACTTCATTGTTTTAAAGTGATTACATACTTTCTGATTACTACTTTTATACAAAAATAATGTATTCAAATACACAGGAATTAATGCATACATTTCTTGTCATAAAGCAAATCTTAATTGTGAAACAAAAACTAACAATGACAAAAATCAACAATGCATATGATCAAGCTGCCCGTTTTTATTCGTCATACAGCTCTAAATCTGTCATGTCATGTGTGATCAAGCGTTTGTTTTGTGCAGCTCGATTCTTTATTTCTATCAGATCCTTTCCTGTCGAATCAGCTGTCACCTGCCAGGATTTTTGTTTTCATAACATTGCTGATAAGAAGCAAAGATAGCAGCAGCAGCAGCAGGGCTTTCATAGCTTACACTATGTGACAAAAGTCTGTGTTGTGTCAGTGGAAAAGCCCTGGAGGCCAAGAAAAATATGCAGAAATGTGATTTATCAAGTCGAGGCACTTATCAACATGAAATAGTGCACTGGTTTTGAAACCAGATATAATACTGCAGTCTGTCATGAAGAAGTACCCTCTATTTTGATCTCCTGCAAAGTAGTGACTAAGTCTCCATTTATGCCGGATCAGCTGTTTGTACAACCTACATGTGTGGGCTGTTTTATTTTTGCAGTCATTAGATTCATAATTAAGGATTTTTTTTCACAGGTTCATGTTGATTAAATAGCTTTGAGCCACAAAGGAGTAAAGAAAATCGATATAAAAAGCTGAAAATCACAATGTAAAACTTGTTTTTAATTCTGATCAATAATGGGTAAAAACTTTCAGCAATACAGATGCGTTATTTCCTTATTTGGATCACTTAATGTGCGATGTATCTTTGAAGTCTCAGAACTGATGGTAATGTCTTGAAGGAATTAAACTGACAGGTGTTACATTTGGTATCCGTCTTCATTGGATTTTTATTTATTTAGTCGTTCGTTTTTGTGTCAAAAAGAGAGCAGATGCTGTGTGATCTCTGCCTCTGTGGAGGCAGGCACTATTGCTGCACATCAATAGGCCTGTGATGATCAATAGGGATTGCGTGATGTTTTTGCATTGATTATAGAAACGTGAGCCGATGAATGGAACCGGATTCCTCTCTGAGGGATATGCAGTTCCTGTTCAGCAGAGAAAACCAGAGAGCAGCAGAGCGACCTAACACACCTTTTTTGTATGAATCTGCTGGTAGATTTGGACTCCTCCTCATTCACTCTGACTTGTACTGAAGTAGCTGCAGACCGTCAGCAGGCACCTTGTGAGTTTCTAAGAAGTGTCCAGGCTGCTGTTTTCTCCCCGCTTGACTCGGCCAAGTGTCTGCTGTTGTCGGACCGCTCGTTTCTCCAATAAGATGCCATGGTAAGCTCTGTTCTTCTAATGTGGGGATACAGTAACATGGAGACCCTCACTGACTGTGAAATGGTATCTGCATTCTCGGCATTCTTACTGGGCTTGATCAACAGTGAAACACAGGCGGCTCTAAAGCTAGGGTTAAAGAAGACAGAGCTGGATTTTCCGCTGCTTTAGAAGCTGATGGGCTTCCAGAGTATGAGTTATGGCTTGAGATCATCTCTCACAGGTGGTGAAAGGTTTCACAATGGTACCTCAAATGTAACACCCGCAAATGGAGCCAGCGACACAGCTCAATAAATACATTTACTGTCCTCAGTGCTTTGAAAGCTATTGCTTTTTGAGAGTGAAGTGCTGTGGATGCACTTGACTGCTTGTTGGAGCTTCTGTGGGTAAGATGAGGCTGGTGTCAGATTTTACTTTATGTGTTATATAACAGTAAAGGCTTCATATTGATATCTTTAAAAACGTGTTGTGTTGATTAAACTGGGTTTTTAGCTGTTGTGATTGGCAAGCTTTGAAAGAGCGAAGTTCTCTGCTACTGTGTGAAATGAATTTGTGTGACTTTCCTGTGCTTTTGTTCGTGCGTTGTTGCACATATGCAGCCTGAAGAAACCAGAAAATAAAAAAATATTTTATTTCCAATTTAAAGAAAATATAGGTTGTCAAAGTCATTAAAGATAGTTTGCCTTTACTTTAACAAAAGTAAAGTTTGCTCATAATTATTCATAATAATCTGAATATCTTAAATATTCCAAATAGCAGATGCCTGCATTGAGAGAAACACCATTTATCTCTTTGTTCATGTAAAATTATCTGAATGTCACTTTTTAATTCTGCACAATTTCACTACTCTATCATTAAATTCAGATGTAAACTTTCCGTGGTGACTGTTCCAGTTGCGTCTCAGTTGTTCATGTGATAGGATGTTTTGTCTATCTGTGTGTGAGTGTGTGTGTGTTGTACTTGTGCATAGCGGAGTGTGCGAGCGAGCGAACGTTTGGATCCCTCCTCCCCGGTGCTCCGCCGGCCCCTCTGTCACTTTAAGTCCTGCCCCTCGGAGCCAGCCAACAGCAGCTGTTCCATATTCATCAAGCCCTTGAGTCTTAAAGAGCCCTATCCCGACCATGGAAAGAGTCATTCCTCTCGCTCGCGCTCTCATGCTCTCTCCATCTTAGCGCTCATCCTGCTGCTGCTGCTGCTGCCTGCGCTTCTCTCTCCCTCTCTACTCTCTCTCTTTCACCCCCCCTTTACCTCCCTGTCTATCTGTCCCTCCCCTCCTCTCTCTCTCTCCCTCTCTCTCTTTCTCTCTGACACACACTCAGACACACACTCTTTCTCTCCCCAACACATATATACATAAACACACACATGCTCACACACACGCGCGCACCCACTCAATCCATCAGAGCCCAACATACCTGTGCAGGCTGGGGGGAACGGTGCTGGAGGGGCTTTTCGGCGGCGTTGTCTCTGAGGGTGCTGCGCTATCATTTGGGGGAAGAAGCGGGTCTCAGTTGTTTCCTCTTTCCTCTTCCTCTCACTCCTGGAATGCTAAAACTGGACTGATGGACATTTCAGAACTTTGTCTTCCAGACCCTCTCAGCTATCATAACCAGTAGGTGTACCTTGTTTCTGTCACTTTTTAACCCCACTCTTTTGTTGCGTTTTTATTCTCTCACTCTGGTTTAAATACCTCTCCTTTTTGTATCAGTGCTTGCTCTAGTTTTGTAGTTCTGTTTCTTCTGCCCCACTCGCCTCACTGCTGAACTTTTTCTCTCTTTTTATGCGGTAATATACTTTGCAAGCTTTTCTCTTCATGTACCCTCTCACACCTACTCACACTCTTAAACATGCACTTTCTCTTGTTCATTGTTTTAAGGGCTCTTAAATCATGCAGGACTTGACAGCATAGAGCAACAGGGCAGGTGCAACTGTGAAACGTGTGTGCATGTGTGTGTAGATTTATTGTGGGCGCACATGTATGCCAGTCTTTTCAAATTTCTCTCAGAGCATGGCTGATTGATTTAGCTCGCCCCTCTGCAAAGTGAGTGTATTCTCTCGAAAGAAGTTGGGGTACCTGTCCAGTCGGGTTAGGAGGTTGTTTGCTGATGGCTTTGTTCCTAGATCCGACCACACAGAAAGAATGTGAATGATATTTTGAGGAAGATGAGATTAATGGGATTCAGGGGAATCAGGGAGGATAAATTACACACTGTAATATTTGTAGCCAGAGAAAGACTGATGAAAGGACCCGGTAACCTCAGTGATCTGGCAGCTCTGTCCCAGGCAGCGGCACATGAGGTGAGCTGCTGCCTCAACAGTCTGACTGCTGGGAAAGTCTTTGCCCAGCACACGCTCTAACTTTCTAAATCTATCCATAACTTGTATTTTACAATTCAAAAACAACCTTAAGTTAAGCTAAATATATATATTTTTCTCCTTTTTTTAGTTGAAATTGTTTAATTGTTTGAAACAGGAATGTAATTCCTCTATACCTCCCTTTAACTGTCTGAAAAACACACTCCAAAGCATTAATCTAAAACTGTGTTCAAATTTGTACATACATTTCGAACCAAACTTTTTTTTTTCAAAGATTTTACTGATAAAGTAGTGTACACACAAAAGTGGTAAAACACTAAATAGAAATTTTATGACATTTTAATAATCTGTCAAAACCACAACCTTAGTGGTTAAAAAGTATGTATATGTTATTCTTTTTCTGAAAAACTCTGTATTTAATTTGTACATTTGTATTTTTTTGTGATGGTGTTCTCGTGACTTAACTTTTTAAGAACAATTTTTCAATAATACCATCAGTCGTTAGATTTTTAAGTGATACGTGAAGTCAAAACACACAACAGAAATAACCTGATGCCATGTTACAAAGCTGACTTATTACTTAAATTTGACCTTTTTTTAAATAGAGAAAGACCTTACTCCAGAAAATTTTATCTTGATAAATTTAAACATGTCATTTTAGGAAACAGGCACAGCCTCTAATATGATCTAATACTCAAACAGTAATTTTGATTTCCCTTTTACACTTAAGTGTCTTTCTATCATTAATACACCTTTATACAAAATTACAAAACCAGCAGTAAAAGAGTGAATATTTCTTTAACACATCAGGTATCACACACACGTTTTTCTTAATATTCTTCATTTTAATATTCTTTAAAAGAGTTTTTTGAATTGAAGGATACGACTACAGTAATTTACATTTACACCAGCTCAACAAATCAAATATTTACATTCAAAATTGTTAAGTTTAAAAATACATGATACAGATATTCACACTTTCCATTTGGTTGAAGTGTTCCTATGAATGCTGTGTATTAAACATTTTGAGTGAAATTTGTGTTATACATAAAGGCTACAAATATACGTAATTATGCTGTAAATTGTGTCTTAAAATAATATGATTTCACTCTTTTATTTGTTAATGTCTCTGTCAGTGACTTGACAAAATTAAAAGCTATTTTTTACACTGCAACATGAGGATTCATTTATAATTTTAAAGCAACAACTTTCTTAGTGTTGCAAGAAAAGTATTTTAAAGCAGTGTATTGCAGTAAATTAGTTTGCTATAAATAATTTTTTTATAAACCTAACTGTAGTTTATTCAGATTTTGCAATAGAGTTACTGATTTCGTGGTGTGGTACGCCGATTTTGGCCAGGTTTTTACTGAAATGAATACAGGCAATATTATATGGCAGATTGCACAGAAAAAGAGTTGCATTTTGCCTTGTATCTCAATAATACTAAGGTACTATTGGAGCATGCACAGGAGAATAGCAGTGACAAAGCTTCTAAAAAAGCTGAGGGTATAAAAGTTACTTTTGTGATTTTCTGGAGATGGATTATAAAAAGTTTGTTGTCACAAAAGATTTCTACCAAAAAATCTTACACAAGTAAATAAGCATTTCGCTAATTACATATCAGTCCACCAAGTTTGAGCCTCTCCAGTATCGGCCTGAGTGTGCTGTATGTTAATGTTCAGCAGTGGCTCTTCTGTTAATTGTCGGCAGTATTTGCAGCCCCTTACTGTGGGCTGGATGTGGCGCTGATGCTGGGTTGAGAGGATTAGTGGGATGTATGTGCTCCATGTAATTAGCACAGCACTGTCGTGGAATCACTGTAGTAACACACTCTATAGATTGACCCGAGGGGCCACTCTCTGGAAAGTAGACAGAAACAGAGCAGTGTGCATTTGGAGGAAAGAGACACACACCTCCTGTCTCTTTGCATAAAGAAGGTTTTGAGAAAGTTTCATAGTTTTTTTATAATACAGCACACAGAGTCAAACACACATTAGTTTTGAAATTTAGCTTACGAAACTCAACCTGCTATCCACTTTTGCTTGACTTGTTCCAGTCTAAATACCGCTCGGCTCATGCAGGGAGACAAGTCATTTACTGTGGGAGTCTGACAGGCTTGTTGTTGATCATCTATTGCAGAGTCAGTGCGCTCCACTCAGAAGGCAGCCAGTGCAGAGGATTGTCAGTTTGAGTTCCCGGGTGCTCGCTAGAAAAACACACACAGAGTGTGAGCGGCGATGAATTGAGATGTGACTTCTTTTTGTTTCTGAATGTTCCATCAACACCCTCGCTTTCCTTAAGCTTTGGCAGAGCCTCTGCTAAAAACTAACCAGGCGATCCAATTTCCTTTCATGAAATAAAAGCTTTTTAATGTATTTTTTTAGAGAAGTTAGAACACAATGATGAATTAGATTTCAATTTATTTGACTTCATTCCCAGCCTGCTGCATTAGAGCCTGCAAACACCCATCTCCAGCAGTCCGTCTGCTTGATTCTTATTAGGTTTCAGAAAACAAGGCGAGGGAATTGCATTAGTGTATCTTAAGTTAAAAGCTCTTTGCTCTTTGACCAAGTGTTTCATTGTTATTGGGTTAATCAGATTTTTGCTGTCTTCATGGAGATGCTATCGCAGGCTAGAGGCAGTGGTGGGTAACCAAAGCAGCCGTGCACAGACACTATCCAGATGGGATCAGCTTACGGTAATTTGGTTTCAGAATACATTACCAGAAGAGGCTCCTGGCCGAGAATGGCCGTCCCGTGATATGAGCCAGGAGCTGGTGGCCTCTGTAGCCACAGCTCAAGAAGACCCACCTGTCCCAATCTCCCCCCTCCTCATTTCCCCCAAATTTAGTAGGTGTTGGGAAATGTGCCTTTTACAGAAAACCTAATGTTTTAAATTCAGTCTGTCACCCGATTCTTAATACTTCCTTCTTGTACCAACAGGGCTTTGTTGTCCAATTCATTAGAGAGATTCCTGAGTCCACTGGCCACGCTGGAACCCTCTCATTTCTGGTATCTAGTATCATTACTTTCACTGTAAATATGTCACTCAGCTCAGGCTGAGCGGGGGGAGGGTGGAGCATGTTGTCCCTCTCCAGGCCAAATGGGGATGCAGAGTATATTGACACTCTATGGATGTTCACTGTTCTGCAGCTTCAGAGGTATTCAGGTTCATTCCTGTTAGTGCGTAGGCTGGCACATTAAGCTCACTTATTCATTTGTAGTGGTGCTTAATTCCCCAGACAGTTAACTGAAAAAATAAGAGTAAAAAAAAGCATGCTGTATCCAGACTTTTCTTATACCTACCTAGATAACTTATGCAAACATCTTTTAAATTTATTTTGACTTGTATCATGATATTCTGCCCTTTGAGACCCCACCTGCCCTTTACACCTTTTAGCGAACAGAGTCCACACCTCTTTGGCCTTTTCATCACATCCATCCGCGTAGAAACCACCAACCGTCACCGCACGCGTCCCTTCTGATTTCTCATCCATTGTAACCTTGGACACCTCCACCGCAGCAGTGTGAGAACCTGTTTAAAAATAACCAGGTCCATTAGTCTAGAAGGATAATGCTAGCCTACGTGGGCTCTCATGCCCTTGTGGCAGCAGAGTGCTATCACTGACACGGTGCGTCAGCACTTCTTCCTGTTGCTCCAACATTGAAGGGCTCCTCCTCATTTACACACACATGCACGCATGCCTGTACACTTACAATCTGAAACAGTAAAACAACTGAGTCACAAAAAGACTTACTGTAATAGTTATACTTTTGAAAATACTAAAAACTGTGACATTACAAACTAGTTGCAAGAAAACTCAAAGTTTTATGATTGCAAAGTTTCTCACTTGTCACACTATTGTTAGATTATTGTCTCTCTGTAGATATGAATGCATTCTTTAAAGTTTTGCCTTGAACTACTATATCTGTAATGTAGGAGGTGAAAGTGTGGGTCTGCTAATTCTCACTCTGTTAAAAAATGTGATGTAAGCTGGGTAACAATATGGGTGTTTATCAGTGAAGGCTATTGGTATTGAACAGCCAGTTGTTTGAAGGTTATGTTTCGGAGCAGTAATTGAAATGCAAAATAACATTAGGATCGATGGTTAGCTTTGTTTATTTATGAAATCAATATAGAAACCGTCCGTCACAGCAGCAGCTCTGATTCCCACTGACAGCTTCACCAAGTCTTCTCTACACGGCCGGGGTGAGCCTTCACCCATCACAGCTTTTAGGATGAGTTTTTCTTTTTGTGTGGATAAAAAGTTCAGGGTTGATTGACAGTAGACTGCGATCAACATCATGAACTTGAATGTTAAAGACTGATGCTGTGTTCACACTTAATGGAACAGCGTCAGAAGAGAGAGAGAAAAAGAGAGTAGTACTATCACTCGTCCCTTATTTGCCCAGAGGAAATAGATGTGACCAATAACCAGCCATTAACAGGGTGGTGTACAGACAGACAGACTGACTGACTCTACAGGCCTAGTTTCTTTGTGCTGTGCAGAGATTATTATTGATGACTGCATTTCTCTCTTGGCACATATCAAATCTGCTTTGGTTATATCACAGCACTTTAAAAAAAAGAAGGAAAAAAAGGCAATTCCCTTCAACATTTAATTAACTCACACATTTAATTTTTACTCTATTATTTTTATTCCCGTCATCGTGATCCAGAAATTAGAGCTGGTGATGTGATGGGGTAGTACGAAGATATTTTGTCATTAAGGCATTTTAAATGTCCCCACTTTAATCTAAGGCAGTCATTTTACACTGTATATACACTTTTTTGTTGGAGCTTAGCTTGATCCAAATCAATGCTCATCTCTGTCCTGATTTTCCCTCAGCCTGTTTTTAAAGTTACAAATTCTCCAGATCTTCTCAGTAGGTTTTAATAAAAGTGAGAACAAACAAAAAGGAGACAACAATTTATTTCAGGCGTCAGGTCAGCATTACAGATCACGTTTGTGTGTTTGTGCATGTGTTTGTTTGTCGGTGTGTTATTGTTTACTGTGTGCTTTTTGTGTGTATTTTCCCTGTCAGTCACAAAACATGTTCGCATTAAAATGCCCCTTTATGAGACCACCCCCACAGCGCTTAGTGCAATCCAATAGTCACACTGAGTGGCTGGTTGTTGAACCTGCCACTCGCAGTGTCCCTCCCTCTTGGTATGTCCGCTGACTCCAGACCGTCGACTGAATAATACAGACATGCTGAACACTGAAATGTATGTTTAGATTGCCCCCTGAAGGAGACATATTAATTCAGGAAATATCCCCAAAGTTTAATTATTCTTGAATGGTGTGGTGGTGGACACTACCATATAAATCAGTTAGGCCCACCCGCCTTTTTATTACCAGCACTATTTATGGGGAATGTGTGGCAGCTGGTAGAGATGAGCCTGTAAAAAGCTAGAGGCGATTGCTACGACTGTGTCTGCTGCTGTGGCAGACTGTCATACAAATACTGTTTTTGTGCAGCTTCAGTTCATTTTGGAACCACTTGAATTGTGTGCTGCAAAACAACAATTTAAACAAGGAAAATCGTGCAGATTTTTACATGATGATTATGTTGTGTTATGCTTGTCATTTCAATCTTACCTCCTGTGAACCTGTGTAAACATTTACACTTTTGATTGCATTGAAATGATCCAGCATACGTGACAAAGCGGCAAACACTGGCCTGTTAATTTTGCCTTTTTGTTCTTGTTTATGTGTGTTCATCTGTTTGTGTTTGGCTCATTTTCTTATGAAAAGAACAATTTATGATGACGGCAGGATAAGCTCTTTGTTTTTTAGCAGGTAGAGTTCCACCCTAAACAAGGACGGCCTATCAGAAGAAGATTAATGAAGTAATTTCATGCATGGCTTTATGCCTCCGTCCTCCTGTACGCACAGTCACTGTGTCTAAACCTGTGATTTACACTGGACTGTGTTCAATAGCCTTAACCCTTTATAATAATATTTCTTACTGTTTGTGACACACACACACACACTCACGCGCACGCACGCACACACACATTTCTTTCATATCTTCTCTCTGAGACTGTGTCCCACAAATATCCAGATGGAGAGGAGGGTTGCTTGGCTTGCACTCGTTTAAAATTTTCCTGCTCAAGTTTCCATCATTCATATTTTATAATCCCTCCTCTTTATTTTACATAAGGAACCCCATTGAGAGTACATGAGAGGTGTGCTGTGGTTGATATCTGCTGGCTTTCCACATAATTTATGGCTGTTAAACAAAACCAAGCCTTAAAACTGAATTTTTATGAGTCACTCCTACTGCACAGGTCAGTTTTTGCTCTTACTTAATCTTTGAATCCTTAAACCTGACGGTTTGTTCAGTATTACCTTAAAACAGATGTTATTGCAAAGAAATCAAGATACAGTTAGACAGTGAGTAGTTATATTTTAACAATGTGGATTAATAGAAGCATCCTGATACGTTAGACGCTGTGATGAACGATAACATGCATTTAAAATATGTCACAGCATCTGTAATTAGAAAGAGCAAAAAGTGCGCCACTAAGATGCTGACACTTTAATTTAAAATAGATTTAAAAATGCATCAATTTTTCATGCATTATCATTTGATAGCCTTACAAAATGAAGATGAAAAATTTGAAGCTTGAAAAGTCAAATAGTTGAACTTCTATAGAGTGGAACTGTTAGAGTTCATTTTGTTGTTGTAATGAAATAATCAGCTTTACTTCAATATTGTGAAGTCTGTATTGTAATATTGATGCTATTGTATCAGTTACATATCACGCAATAGTAGCTTACGTCTGATGTCACATGCATACACACCAGATTTGTTGAGGTTAACTCTTTTTTTTTTCCAGTTCAAAACCCTGAGAATCAAACTTTTTTAAGGATGGTTTTGGCCTGTAATCGACTATAATGACTTTTTTTTTAATTATCATGAACCATTGTAGATTTATGTTGTTAAATTATACCATGGCCACTTCATTTAATGGATGTAATGGAAACTAATCTTTTCTAATGAAAAGGCAGAATTAGAAATTTGATCCCAAATGTAATGCACAGCAGACTCGACTTATCACTCCACTTCTCTTTTTCAAACACTATGATGAGCTGTCTAATTCTACAGGGGGCTTCCCCGCTGGGTCCTCATCTGATGGTTAACTCTTTGTTCTCCATAGAGGGAAGTTTAGAGGACCGGCAGCTCTCTCACCTCCCCCCAGACAGCAGCTCTATCATTAGCCATTTGCTTCCCTCAACATCCTGAACTCAGCCTCTTATAAGAACCAGATCCGCCCAGAGCGGCCCAGACAGTTTACGTCAGACAAACAGCAGTGCCTGTATCACAAAAGGCCCCTCTCTTTCCTGCCAGCAGCATCTCTAGAACAGGAAGGAGCACGGAGGGGGATCAATAGATGTGATCTGCTTCTTGGCCTGCGCTATCTTGTGGTGCCGCTGGAGCATGAGGCTCATGTTGTCGTAGTGGAGTGAGCTCATGGCTTTATAAAGACTACAGTGACATCGCTGTGGAGCAGCTAAATATAATCCTCTGCTGGAGACTGAAAAACTTAATTGCCCAAGCCACAGAGCAGCTCACCCTCCCCTCCCCAGTGGTAACCCTGCACGAGCCCCAAGCCTACGGACTATTGATCCGGGGCCCTCGCTTTCCATCGGTACGATAAACACAGATCTCTCTCAGTCCTCCCTCTCTCTCTTTCCCCCATGTATCACTTACTTTCGCTTTCCCTCTTTTCCTGTTTTTAGTCTCCTCGACTTCCCCTTTTGTTTGCCTCCATAGATCTGCACATCATAAATCTCTGTCAGCTTCTCCTCAGTGTCTGGCATATCCGTTAATAAGGAGGCCCCTCCCTCCGCTTCAGGTCCACACCCCTCCCTCCTCTCTGTGCAAGAGCCGGACTAATGAATGAGAAACTCCAAAAATTAGGGGCCTCTCCCCTCATAGATTGGAATGAGTCCCTCTGGAGAGCCGGGCTTGCCTCCAACCAAACCACAGCCATTAACCAGCAACCCCCACACCCCCCCACCACCATATTTCCATCTTTCATATTCTGTCTACTACACTAACACACACCCTCAGGCACAGACACACACGCATGTCCCCCCAGAGTGTATTTGCCCCTTATTCCCCTGATGGTCTTTACCCTGAAACCAGTTAGACACGGGGGCATCCTCCATATTTCCACTAAGTGTTAGTTGTGCCTCTTATAAAGTGTTATGTTTTAAATATATATTTTTGCCCCCCTGAACACACACACAGAGGCATGCTCATTTTTTTGGGCGTGCTAAATTTCAGCACGTTGCCTGCTCTCCTAAAAATGACTCATTGGCTGTGTGTTGGAGCGGTAAGAGGTGGCAGTGGCCCCTGGAGGAGAGGTCACCGTGGCAGCTGCCAGTAGGCTCTGGCTGTGGTGGAAAGGCTGAACCGGGTGGAGAGGAGGTCTGTCAGGAGCTAATTGAGTTCGTCCTACCAGCGCTGACTCTGGGGCCAGTAGCTTATCAGGCCACATCGCCCGGGGCCTTCCAGACAGATCTGCCCCTACTGGGGCATCTGATATCACCATCACCCTGCCTGCAGATGTCAACCCCACCTCCTCCTCCACCCCCTTTCCTTCCTTTCCACTTATCCAGTCTGATCAGGTAGCCAGGATGTGACACTCTGGGAGGTTAGCAAATGTTATAAAATCGTGTGTTTTGGCATCCGGCGGCCTTGAGAGTGAAAAGGACATGAGAAATTTACTCTATATTGTGCCGTATGCTTCTGATTCACACATGAAACAGAGAGAGAGAGAGAGAGCGAGCTGTAGTCATCCAGAGCGCAGTGGAGGATGTGTCTCCTCCTGAAGTGAGCAGGAAGCTCTCAGCAGGAATACTTACAAATTGGCTCAATTAGATCCTTAATGTACTGCCTCCTCACGAGTGTCTTCCAGCGTCCAGAATTTTCGCTTGCAGGCGAGGGAAGCGTTAAGACGTACGAGAACGAGCGCTCCTAGGTTCTCCTCTTGGAAGTGAAGGAACAGCGAGTGTGAGACGAGCCGCCAGATCATTAGGCCAGCTAATCCTGGTCACAGCAGCACCGGTGGAATGATATTAGGGATCTGAAATGCTGTTAGGGGGGCCAGGTGGAATCAGATTAAAACCAAACTGCGCAGTGTGCGTTTGTGGGCCCATAACCCACTACTCAGCATGAATTTTGATCGGTACAAAGGGAACAAAAGGAGGAGGAACAGAGAGAGAAAAAGAGAGGGGAGATACTGTATCTTAGACGAGCAGTGCTCCTTTGGGCAGCCAGGCAGCAGAATTTGAAATGCTTTTACCTTGAGGAAGGAAGGAAGACAGAACTATAGATTTTCAGAATCAAGGCAACCCTTTCCTGTCTGCTCTGTCTGAGAGGAGGGATACAAGCTAATTAGCACCTGCCCTGCATATTGAATTATTTATTACGACTATTGCTGCTGTCAGACTATTTAATGTTCATAATTCATTTTCCCATACAATAGTACTTATAGATTTAAATTGGACCTGTCCCATTAGAGATTACTAATATTTATAGAAATATTTTAGACTGTTTGATTAATACGCCAGGTTCAAGTGGTTAGTATTCCCTCAGTATCATTAATCAATATATGCAGGCTTGTTAAAAACATAAGCATAGCAGTGGTATAATGTGTCATAGCAGAATGAGTTAAGGGAGATTCTAGCCAGCACATTTATTATAAATGACCACATAGAGCTGGAGGGGAAACAGTTAAGACACTTATGCAATTATGCTAAGTGTCACCCTGAGGATGCCCTTTGAACCGGGGTTAAGCTTACTCTGAATTTGTGAAATAAAAGCTAAATGGAGCCATCTTGGGCGCCTGCGTTTTAATATATAGCCCTTAATAAGCCAAGTGCAGGTGCCCTATCGCACAGGTGCATATATCCATCTGAGACAGAGAGCATAAAGCAGATGAACACAGAGCTGTGGATTAATTTATGGGGATGCAATCTGCATTCATTATCAAGAGCGGTGTCTTCTATTTGAGAAAGGCATGGAACGAATTCACTTTTTCCAAGTTCTGTCTGCGTGTGTGCAAGTAGATGATTTTTAAAACAGTAAATCTGTGTGACAGCCCAGATCTCATCAGTAGAAAAACACATAGTTTTTTCATTGTTTAAATCCAAGGATAGAAACTGTAACAAATGTTGTGTATCCGTTTTTATGGTGAGGGGTTTTATATCGCAAGAATTCCATAAGTGCTGAAGCAAAGGGCTTATTCCACAAGGTCAACGGTTTTAACAGGGGGCATTTTTTTATTATTTATTTTAGCAGTTAACCTTTTTGTGAATTTCCAGAAGTGGTAGGCACCTGGAGCTCCGATGAATATACATGACAGCAGGGAGGGAAACCTGGGAATGAGATTTAATTTGACATGCTGACCCCCATCTCCACGGGCCCAGGAAGCCTGGGTGAGAAAATAAGGTTGACCCACTGACCCCTGGGCCTGAACCCCTCTGTCACCCACCCTCACAATTAAATCAGCCACGGAGAGCAAGAGGCAGTCCGGCCAACCAATAGGGGACATAACTGAGGCCTTTGGTTTCCTGTTTCCTCCAAAGCATCCTGAGACAGACAGCCATCGTCCAATCAGGCAGAAAGAGGGAACATCCCCCTCTCCCTGTGCTGATGGTAAACTGACATGTCAAATATGTAAACATTAGCATTAGTTGGCAATATGCTAATGGAGCTAATGTGCTAAGGCACAACTTGGGCTGTCTAGCTGCCACTCAGAAGAAGCCCCTGTGTCTGAATTTGCATAAGCCATGCAAGGCTCAATTTTGTTAATGCAGGCAAGTGCAGGTGACCTTTCACCCTTCCATGGTACCTAATGCAAAGGGGTGTGTGTGTATGTAAGCGTGTGACCTCGCCTTGACCGTATGAGGTCAGGAAGTCTACACTGCCTCCCCAACACATCAAGTTATCCCTCCCCTTTACCAGTGCACCCCTTCAGCTCACTCAATTTACTGACCAAAAATAACTTGTCCTGGCTAAGTTTTCCCCCTGTTGTTCTCTGTGTGCAATTTCAAGTTAAAGGTTATGGAGCAGAGACTGAAAAAGATTTATACGGCGAAAACGGCTTCAGAGTGCATTTCGTGGCCACAGCTCGAAGGCTGCACTTTAGTCTGCACACGTTACAGCATCATATTGCATGTACTCCAAAATACAGTTATTAGGCAGACAGTGAAAAAGTCAATACCTTGCCATCGTGTTTCCTTTTGGTTGACTGCTGACTCAAGGAGACAAGCCAAGGTCCACTTCGCTCCCTAAACTATGGAGATGCTCCTGACTTGTTGTGCTTTGTTTGCCTGTGTGCACTTGCCTGTTAAGTTATTTGAGTGCTCTCTCTCTTCTCCACATCCTTTCCTGTCTTTCTTTGTATTTGAATTGTTCTGGCATTTGTGTAACGATGTGTGCACAGTGTGTGTTTGTACATTGAAGGGCTGTTTGCTGCCGCGGTGTGCAGATAATGTAGCACTTACAACACGCCTTCTGGTTTGAACCCAAATAGATGACCTGAAAACTGTAGAAATGCAATTGAATAATTATTGTAATATGGCTTTAAATTTGTCGGGACAATGTAGGAATTTGTGTAAAACATGAATGTTCAGAAATAAATCTTTTTCTTGATGGTTTCTGCTCTAGAAAAATATGAGTTGTTAGATACTTGTCAATGTCAGGTTTTCTTTGATTGAATCAAGTACTCAGAAACTGTAATATAGTGAGTAATTAAAAGAAAAGACTCTAAAATGCCTGCCTTGTCATTAAATCTTTATATTTTGCACTAAACATCAATCCACTTATTTGCTGTTTATGCATTTCTGCCTCACTGCTGGTTGATGAAATCCACATTTACTCTCTAAAGACCTTAACTAATCATTCTCCTCTTCTCCCCTCATTTTCCTTCCCCCTCCCTATCCCACCCCAGGCTGCTGAATAGAATGGCGGCTGATGACCGGCACCTACCCTCCAGTTGTGGGTCCTACATCAAGACGGAGCCATCCAGTCCCTCCTCGGTCATCGACACAGTCAGCCACCACAGCCCCAGCGGCAACTCAGACGCCAGCGGCGGCTATGTCAGCACCATGAACAGCCACTCCAACGGTCTGGACTCTCCACCCATGTTCACCCCCAATGGGCTCGGGGCCGGCTCCTGCCGCAAGCGCTACGACGACTGCTCCAGCACCATCATGGAGGACTCGTCCATAAAGTGCGAATACATGTTGAACTCCCTCCCCAAGAGGCTGTGCCTGGTCTGTGGAGATATAGCCTCGGGGTATCACTATGGGGTGGCCTCTTGTGAGGCCTGCAAAGCCTTTTTTAAAAGGACAATACAAGGTATTTTTCCCCTCTCAGTACAAGATATTTCATCCCATGTTGCTGCATCACCAGACATAAAACACCCTCAATACAAGGCACCTTTGGCCTCACAACAACACTGAAACATACTCAGTCCAGGCGGTTTACTATGTAAAAAAAACTCACTGGAGTGTGAGAAATGTTGTCTCTACCTCATGAGACTTAAAACCTCCACATGAAAATCACTATTTTTGATGTTATTACACTGAACAACTCCTTATTACTTCAGGCTCAATAGAGATACTTTCCAATAATATGCATTTTAAAAAAGCTTGACTGTACCAGCTGAAATACAGAGAAATACGATCGTTTTAGGACAGGACAGATCAATTCTGTGGGCATGATTAGATCATCAGTCATGGTTGCCGGTGTATGGTGGACATGACATCATCACTCAGAGGTCAGATTTGGTGGGAGGTGGGGGCTGTTTGCCCAGATGCCTTAGGGGGGCTCGGAGAACATATTTTATTATTCCTGTCATGTTTGTTTTTGTGTGTACATGTGTGTGGTGGGACTGGGGTGTGATTGGCTATCTGCTAGGCCTGATGTGTCACAGCTTCTCATTAGAGAGGCAATGAATGGCCCCCCACTGTGAAACTGTGCGCTCTGCTTCAGATTAATCAGGAAGCCGGAGATATTGTTGAGCTTAAAAAATCTGCACAACAGGCACAGCTGCTCAGGTCTGTGCCGGCTTAAAAAGAAAGTACGTGCAGTGGATAAATAGATTAAATAGGTTATCGGTTCAGGCTTGGTAAGATGCTTTGAACACAGAAACTTGATTTTTAAAGTAAATGAATCTGATATCATTTATCTTCTTCTCTCTGTACACTTTCATCCGCAAATGATTGCAGGCATTATATGTAGAGCAGGCTGCTTGTCTGGATGATAGGTGTTGATTTTGGACCTTACAGCCCTATCAGCTTTAGACAGTCTATGTACCTTTTGCAGGCAAACAAAAGCATTAGGCCAAATCCTCCTGTTTACCCATGCTGCCATCAGCAATCCTGTCTATTGACAAAAGATGAACATTTTCTCTCAAGTAACATAACTGGGCTTTTGTCCCCTCACTAAAAGTACACTGACGGCAACACAATGGAGCAGAAAAGAGGCATCTGGGGAAGAAAGAGATGTCTTAAGTGGAGCAATGGCTCAAACAATTAAGAGAAAGGTACATGGGAAAAAAGAAAGCTCCTCTTTTTCCCCTCCTCACTCTGCATTGACGATTTGAAATCCCTCTCTTTCTCTTCTTGGAGGGCTGCCTGTAATGGAGCTAATCTGCCGTCGTTTGTCCGAGCCACAGGAGTTTTGTCAATAACAATCAGCGTTTGGAAAGTGTAATTAAGGCCGAGGCTTTTCATTAGGAAGAAGGGAGGGGGCTGTCTCCAGGGACGGGCATGCCAATTAGAAACTCAGGCACGCGTCGCCGGGTAATTTCAGGGAAAGGAGGGGAAAAAACCCAGGACTTCTTTAGATTGGAGAGGGACCCTGCTGCTCTTTCAGAGGAGAGGAGGGGAGGCTTAATGGCATAATAATCAGACAGGGGTCCCAGGAAGAGAAGGCAGGAGGATGTAGGGAGTTTTTTGAGGGGGGTGGGTGAACACTTCCCAAATGATAAAAGAAACACATGCAGGATTGCTGGAGGAAAACAGAAGCGGTAAAAAGCAGGATGTAGAGCCCTTGAAAGAATGAGAGGGTGCTGTTGATGAGAACTGATTAATTAAAGGAATAACGAGGCAGTCAAGGGTGGAGTGTGAGACGGCCCTCTCTAATGAGAGGAAAACAAAGGAGCTGTCTTTTCCAGCCCTTTATCACATTGTTCTTTAGCACTCAGGGCAAACAGCACGCTAAGTTACTGTTAACCGTGTACATGACGGTTTCTTTGCCACCTTGACACATTCGTTGATATTGTTTTGAAAATTTTAAAACGTTATCCTTCAAATTTGTTGAATTTCTACTAAAAAACTGTCGGATTTTTTTCTCTGGGAAATATATTATTTCTGTTACATCCTGCTTTGGCCCATGCTCCTCCAGCTGATGCCCTTTCCTCTTCAACAAAAGCAGAAAGAAAATCCATCTCCTGTCACCTATTCATCCAGTGAAAAGCCCCTTGAACTCTTACGTGGAGATAGTTACATTAGTCAAGGCCAGGCCCAAATTAACGTCAACCTGGATCTCCATCCATCCCTGAAATACCCCAGTTCACAGTGCGCTCTAATCATCCCCCCTGTTCCTGCACCTCATGTGCCCCACCAATCAAAAACATAAATCTCTTATTGAACCGTGTTTTCTTCCCATTTTGAACCCAAGTGTAAAATTGCTTGAAAACCAACTGAACTCAGTGGCCCTCTTTTATATGAAGTAATAGACCTTGACAGTAAGCCTGTAAAAGTCAGTTTAGATTTTGATGAGAAATACCTGCCATTTTACTGTAATTTACTTACAAGACCTGACTTTCCCCTCTGTGCCCTGGCATGGGTCCTGAAAAGCCATAAAATAGATTGAGACAGATACTTATCAAGAGAAGAAGGAGGGAAATCTTTTTCTTCTCCCTTCACTCTGTAATGTTATTGGTAACCATACCATAACCTCTCTAAAGATAGATAAACCAGAGCATGGCCCTGGGGTTAAAGGAACTCCTGCCAGTATGCTTCATTTCTGAGAGTGAAACCGGCCATACTATCAGTCTATGAGCCACTGTGTCCAGGCATCATTTTTAAATGACAGGGTTATTGCAAAACATTTTATAGGCTGACTCTTGAAAGTTTAGATATTTAATAAAGTATTAAAAGTGCAAATGTAGTGTTAAAATTCCTGTTTAGTAACGGCTACATTTATGTAATATTTTCTTTTTTTATTGGTGTTGTGTTGCTACATAAGATAAAAACAAAACCTGTTTGCTTTAACTCATTTATCTTTTCTAGAGCTATAAATTCATACAAATCAAACACATTTTAGCTCCTTTGAATAGAAATTGTCGCATACTCGCATGAGAAGTTTGTTTGAATTGAGACAAGAAACGACTAATGGGTGCATTTGGAAATAACAGTTACTCTCACCAAGACAAGAAATACAAGACAAATGGTTACTTAGTCTTACGGTTAAACGCGGTTAAAATACTAATTTCAATTAGAAAGTGGCAAAAAATTCAAATTGAGAAAGAAACTTGTTACCTCTATATTTATTTTAAGTGAAAATGAATTTAAGCATTTGAGAGTTTGTCTGCAGTCTGTATTAAATAGATATAAAAATGAAGTTTTGTTTATGTCTCTCTCCATGTCTGGATTATACAGCAGATTGTGCCTTTGATATCGTCCCTAGGATATTGTTCTCATTCCTCATTGGGGCTAATTTAGGTCAGAGTATATCGCTAACAAGATTAGCTAAGAGGTGTAAGTCGTATTTAAAGCAGGATTTAGTCTATGTGTATTGATACTTAAACATTCCCCCTCCTAAATATAAACCAAAAGCAGAGATGAGAAATTAGTTGAGCTGCGTTGAGCTAAGAGAAGCCCCTCTGACAGAACATCAGACACATGGAGAGCCGTATAAGACAGGTGGACATAGTAGTGTGTGAACGTGTGTTTGTTTTTGTTTCTGGAGTGGTTGATATCAAAGGGCCAGCTCTCTCTGCCAGCTACCAGGTGTGGTTTGTACACGTGCCCCCCTGAATAAGAGAAGGGAGGGCGCAGAGAGTAAAATAGCCCATAAACAACACGTCCTCAGGGACACAGGGTCAACCGTGCAGGCAAACTTGCAACATAGCATGCAAATGCAATATGATTTTTCTGTTTTAAAATGATTAAATAAAAGGATTGAAATGAGAAGTTAATATTTTTTTAGATATGCAATCATACCCCCCGTTGCTGATTGGTTAGTGTGTAATGAAAAAGCAAACTAAAAAGACCTACGTGAATTGATTCCAGCACAGGGTGGCACTGATTACCTCCTCCCAGCATATGGGAAATGGATAGGATTATTATGGTCTGGTTCTGCTAAGACAACAGAGAAAACAGAGAGAGGAAAGACAATCAGAGCTCATCAGCCGCTTCCCTCACACCTTTATTTACCCCAATCCCAAAGAGATAAGGAGAATTAGCATAATGATTTCTTAGCCAGATATAAGGAGGAATTTCTAATTATTTATAACATCTTGGGACCCTCCACTTGATCTGTCCAATAATGTTAACATAATTGCATAAGTTGTCAAAGGATGTTGGAGGGCTAGTGGGGGAACGCCGGTGGAATATTACACAGCTTCTGTCTCTGTACAGAAATATGGAGCGAGGGTCAGAGCCGAGGAGCAGACTCAGGATGGTGGGATGCAATCCTAATGTGCCTGTGTGTGTCAGTTAACACAATGCAAATTAAAGCTTTTTAAAATAGCTCTTTCTGTTAAAAGAGTTTGTTTGAAATTAAGAATTTATTTTCTGCAGAAAGAATATTTAATGACGTGTTTTGTGGACAAAGAACAGAGCCAGTACAATGACTAAATTACATTTTTACTCCAGTTATCTGTTTATTTAACTAGAGCAACAATGGCATAAACTGAAATGTTCAAAATATCAATGTCAAAAGCTTTGAAAGCCAAAAGCCCTTTGAAAATAAAGATAATTCAAATTCCTCAGTTGAAGCGCCCATTACATTGAAACCCTTTATTGAACCTCTGGATACAGTAAAATGTAGGGAATCCGACCGGAGCGAGGAGCTGCCTCACATATCTGCCCTTTCTGTTGCTAATGCTAGAGTCGAGCGCAACCAGCTCTTTTATTGTGTAGCAATGAAACTCTTTTTCAATGCTGTGTCCTGGAATCAGACGCTGCAGCTGAATAATGCATAAAGCCTCTTGCCTGTACACTATGTAAATAGTCAACAATGGCAACAGTGGTAACAACAGGTTTGGGTCTGCAGGAGTATTATGTAAAGTGGTCGGGGGCAGTGTGTCTGGCTCTCCGGCTTGCTATTGAGGCAGTTTCAGGCCCCTCTGAGCACAGGGGGACACGGCCTGCGCCTGGGGGCCCGGAGGGGACATGCACAGAATTAATGAGGCCAATTTAGTGTTGGACTAGGGTGGCATCTACTGATGGGTCCTGAAGGACTATTGTGGCTACACTTCCACTTGCCTACCCCCACCCTTTAACTCTTACTCTAGTTTCTCCTCCTGCTGTGGCCCTCAGTGCTGTCAAGTTACCGAAGAAAACCTCAGCCACAATGCAGAGAGGGATTTTATGTGAAACTGTATGGTAAACAATTGACCATTTTGCGGGAGATGATTTATTATCAGCCATTTAAAGTGGTTGTTATGTCTGTGGCAGCTCAAAATTCACTGTTGGGTTTTGTGTTTGGCCAAATTAAATGTCTCCCCCTTGTATATTAAATAAATGTTTTAGAGTATATTATTTTTGAAGCCTGAATAAACTGTGTTCTTCCTCTCCCCAGGTAACATAGAGTACAGCTGTCCTGCCACAAACGAGTGCGAGATCACAAAACGGAGACGCAAATCATGTCAGGCTTGTCGCTTCATGAAATGCCTCAAAGTGGGGATGCTCAAAGAAGGTAAGAAGAGTAAGAACATTTTTTTTATTCCTGCACCCACAAATAAACATACCGTAGCCTAATTTTCACCACTCGTGCAAATTTAGAAGCAACAGTTCCTTTCATAGCTAAGCTGCCAGCTGTAAACGCCAACAACACACACACACACACACACACAAGTTCCCATGATGAATGTTTGAACTGCTCAGAGTCACAGATTTTCTTTTCTCACCAGTCCAGATTAAGACATACATACAACTGACCAGCCTCGACACCAGCTCCCAGCCCCCCTGTCCTCCCCTTACCCACACAGCAGTAAATAATGTGCAGTTGAGCTGGGGACAGAAATATGCTGAATAGGTTGATCCTGCAGTCTGAGTAATAGAATTGTAACAGTATTCCTGCTGGAAAGGCTCAGGCTGAGTCCCTGAGCACACTCTGCACGGTCTCCGCTCTCCCCGGCATATTGATCCACTAAATGTTTTCCGAACATCTCGGCTCTCTTCCTGTGGATGGCTTTTTTAAAGTCACGCCAACAGGGAATTCAGTGACAATTAAACATGCTTCCGATGGATTTGTCTGGCTGCCCCCACCTCCCCCCTGATGCCAGGGACTGAGCCCCCTGGGACCCCGAGGCCCGGGCCGTCTTCCGGGGAAGATACCTATCCATTCTCCCTTTCCTTGTTGCATTCTCTCCTACCTCTCTCTGTCTCTCTCACTCACTTGTTGGTTGCTTCAGAAAGGCCAGACAAATGAATAATGAAAGATATGTGGCTGGGAGGTGAAGTGGCAGTGTAATATTTATTCAAGCCTCCTCTGGGAGTAGCTCAGAGACTCTGTAAGAAAACATGTTTTCCTCAAGTGCTGATGACTATGGGTCAGGTAGCACTTATGTTGTGCTAAGTATGAAGGTCTCCGATTGTTATACAGTTGTATAAATGCCCTCTGAAATTCTCTGTTAACTTCCACTTTTAAGTTCTCTGTTAAACTCAGTGCAGAATATATTTCCCACTATTATTCCCCCCCCCATTATTCATGGGAGAGTGGGATTTATAGATGCATATACAGTATATCCAGTCACCACCTGAAGCCAGAGTCACAGCCTGTATGGATCTCTGCTCAGTAACAGAATCCCCTGGACTGCATGCGGCCAGATAAAGCGGGAGTGCCAGAAAGACAGAGTAATCGCATTACTATCTGATGAAAAATTTATGCCAATATATCATCTTGGAGAATAAGAGACTACAAAAATATGTAGCCGGGGCTATAAATGAATGACCAGTGTCAGGTCAGAGTAAAAAGAGTGTAAAACTGAAATATGCAGGCTTGTGCTAAGTCTGAGGGTCTAATGCACACTTCTGTGTATTCAGCACCTTCACAGAATAAGAATGACCCGGCTCTTTTATAAAGCAGCCGCTATCATCACTGCATTGTTACTGTGGTCACAGACTCCTTGAAGTCCTGTGCAAGTGTTGTTAAAGATCCCTTCTAAAACAAATTATTTCTTTTACCATAAAAATTACAAATCAAATATTTTACACAGACCAAAGAGAAAAGCACATTCTGTGTAAGAGCTCTGCTTCAAGGCCCGAGACTTCAAGTGTTACCAAGACAAAGTGACAAAGTGGAAAAGAAAGACACATGGTCTGAGTCCACAGTAAGCTCCATGAAGCCGTCGGCTCAACGCCACGCTCAGGCCCAGGGTAAAGAGATGGCCTCCGCTCATGTGACTGAGGTTGCCTCTAACTTTCATTACTGCAAAAAGGTCACATTGTGTCTCAATGGAAAATCGCCTAATTATAACTTAACAGCTCCTACAAGGTGCAGCACTGCCCCCCAATGAGACAGAAGATTAAACCCATTTCTGCTTCTGTTATGATAACATTAATACTATTGTCTCTCTGTAAAATTAAAGTCAGATATTCACACTCTTAAAATCCATTGGTTAGGATACCCACTTAACCCAAAAGCTACACTCAGCTCATCCATATCTCCAGTTGTGGTAAGAGGTGCGAGGTAAATGGTCTTCTAAGATCAGCAGCCTGATTACAGGAGGCCTGCCTCAACCCCGTGTCGAGTCGCTGTACTTTCCCTCGACTGTATAAAGGAGGAAGTGATCAATAGAAGAATCAAATGTCAGGGGCAACAGGTTTTTCCTCTGATCAATGGAAACGGATCAGAGCTTAGAGGAGGAGAGAAGACAAGATACTTTTGAGAGATTACATTGACTTCATTCAGTGGCAGTTTCTCCTTGCACACACTTCCTTTCTACCTTGCTGACTGACACACACATCCCATAACTTTCACACTAGTGCAAAAAAAACCAAACCCTTATTTCTGGAAAATTAGATGCTAAATCGTATCCTCGTAACCAAAGATAATAGCTTCTTGTTCCATTATCCTCATTGTATAATGTGTGTGAAGGTAGAAAGTGTCTTCTCTTATTGTGACAGAGCAGTTGCTCACTCATGAACATTTACAGAACAAAGGAGCAAAGCGTGTCTACACTGATATACTATACACCTCTCATTGTTCAGCCGACTGGCATGCAGAGAACAACCACATCCCACAATAGCCCCATCACAGTCACATACACAACATACAGGACATACGCACAGACAGCACTCACATGTAAAGGCTCTGAAACACTAGACATGTAAGTGTTCACGTGTGTTGCAGGCTGTCTGTACAAGTGAAACAAAGACACTGCTTCTTAAACGAAATACCGGCGAAGTGAAGAAGAAGTTTTTTGTGAGGCAATAGAAGGTGAAATAGAATTACGTGCAGTTTAAGTATGGATTTGTCTTTTCAATTAGCAGTAGGAGCAGCAATGTCAGCTCACAGGGGATATTGTAGCTAACCTGTAAATGGAGTATGTGACGAGGGTGTCAGGATGGCAGCCCCTAGGGTCAGCAAGAGGGGAGGGGGCAATGCGTGACAATTTTTCCGCTACCCTCGCTCATCACCACTTGTGATTAAAAATGCTGCAACACACTTACAAGTATGCAAAGCTGGCAACAGGGGCCCTTTGAAATAGTGCTGACGGCAGTTTAGCGGGCGGCTTCCTTGAAAGGCAAGGTTCACCATGCCTTGCCATGTGGCCTTCTGATTTTCCCAGCTAAAATAGGGTCCACCTAAGCCCCCCTTGGCATTGCCAACCATCCCAGACATCCTGACACTTTCCCCAGGGAGAGACACCCTGAACAGGTGAGGGACTCAAAATAAGGGCCCCTTCCACGGCCGGCCACACAAAGTGAGTGAAGACAGGCCCTTTTGTAGGAGGGTGCTTGGAAAGGGATTATTATTGTTTTTGGAGAGAAAGAGGAGCCCTAGGTCAGCTGGCCCCAGCCCCCACCCTGAGGCCTGTGCTAATCCGTGCACAAATGCCAGCCGCCTTGGCCAAAAGCCCTCTCTCTCTGCACCCTGCTTTGAAGAGGCGATACCCGAGCTCACCCGCTGCTCCCCTCACCGCACTGTGTGGTGGGCCATATAACGGTGTGATGTTCAGCTCTATTTGCACATCTATAACACATCTACTGTTTACTTTGGAGGGACCGCTCAAGAGCTATGGGTGTCACATGAACCTCACAAAGATCTGCAAAAAGTCTAAACCTCAGTGCCTGATGGAATGAGGGAGTAAATCAGTCTAGCTTCACAAAATCACTCTCTCTTCCTCTCTCCCGTTTCTGGCCCTGTTGGACAGTAAAATGAGACAGGTTAGTGCCAAGCTTTAATTCCTGTCAGCATCTGTTAATTATGGCCAGGACTGTTCTAATTAAAAGAGGCACCCATCTACCTTCATCGCTGGCTTTGCACCGCCTCACACAGCCACATGACTCAACCAGCAGAGAGGATCACTGAAAGCAGAAGCGCAGCCACCTGGCAGAGTCCGAGCTCAACGCCAGCGCCGGAAGAAACCGTAGAAAGGGATGACATCACGTTTGACAATGAGGGGAATTTTCCACCCCGACAGTAACAGCAGCAACATCTCAGCTGAGTTGGAACATTTCTAAGCACCTAAGCCTGAGCATCAAGTGGAGCCTGTTTAAAGACTTTCCTTAAGATGCCTTCACAGAAAAAAATAATCTTTCCGTGTTACAGTCAGAATTGAAATCGTCATGGTGAGTGCATGTGTAAAGTAGGGGTAGTAGTTGCCACCAGATGATTCCCTGGTGCTTGCTGGGAAGGATGAGGCTCCAATGGGAATTGGGGGTAATTAGGTTAGTGGGTTGTCAGTGTCAGGAAATTGAAAGACAATCCTAATCAGATTTGAGTTTCTTGGGAATCAAATCATTTATATTAGTAGAAAAAAATCTCTGTTCTTCAGATACATTATGAAAGGGTTTGATAAATATTTGATACATGCAGCGAGTGTAAGGGGTAGCAGCCTTAGCTTTGTAAAATAAATGTCAAAAATCAAGAGGATATTTTGCATAAATCCACGGTTGAATTCCTCTTTGCTAAATGAAGGCCACTGCTCCTATCTTACATCATCTGATTTTGCTTCTCATCCCCGTTCCCCGAGCGACCTCCAATCACGTTGCATGGGACACATCCAAACTCATCCCCTCCAAGAGCACTCGCTGATGGGCAAATTGTATTAGGCTCATTTGCAGTGGCCACACAATGCCCAGGTTTGACACCGTCCTCCCTGTTATAAAGTGATGAAATCATCAAGGAAGTGCTCTGGCTGCGGGTGTTTTGTTCGCCCAGAGGACGCAGGCAGCTGACAAATTAACTCCTCCTCCACCGCAAGCATTTCATTGAGCCTTTTCTCATCCCCCCTTTAGTATTAAATTTGTTTGGGGGGTTACATTATGCATGTAAAGTAAATTGAAGGGATTCTCCCTCCTGACAGGATTAAGATATCAGGGGTATTTAGGCTGTAAGGCAGCAGTGGGGATGGATGATAGAAATGTTTGCATACAATTGCATTAAATAACCAAATACCTGCCGGGTGGTATCAAATAAATAGAAACAGTGTAGATGAAATATTTTAACTATGTTGAAAATTAATAGAAAAGAAAAGACATCCAAATGGAAACATCCTTATCAAATAATGAGATAATAAATAACTTATGTTATGATGAGGCTGGCTTGACATTTACAGTATCAGTGTGCAACCTAGCCCTCTAGCTGTGGCTGGGGGTGATAAGGCCTTAGTGCTACTCCTGTGAAAGAGGGGTGAAATAAGGGTCTTTTATGGGAAAGCAATACCTAGTTATCTATCTGCAGTGTGACAGCACAGGGTTTGTTCAGTGTGTGTGGGACTGTGTCTTTGCTTGTATGCTGGTTAAGTTTCTTTTTCCGGACAGTGAAGACCACACACCTGAGCTCAAAAACACACACACATACACACGCACACACACACAGGCAAAGAGGTATGTAGCTGGCAGCTAATTAGTATGCAGTCTGCCTCACCCCAAAAGCTAAATAATTAGAGGGCCAGTCTGTGAGATCATTGACCCTGCGTTAAATATTCATATGTTTAGACCTGCTCTGGGCTCAGCTGTGTCACAGTAGACCAGCCAGGCATGGACCACATATGGGAAGGCAGCCGTGCTGCTGACACATCAGTACACACAGACACACACTAATGTCACAATGCATACGCACAAAAAAAAAAAGGAATCAGCAAACGCACCTCTGCTTTCACAGATAAACCCATACAGAAATGATTCATCACAGCGCAACAGAAGAAGGATTTTTTTTAACACACAAAGTCATTTTTTAATGTATTTGATGTTCCATATAATTTATAACTCAGTGTAGAAATAAAACCTTCCTTGTCCACCTTGTCATTTCTAAACCCAGGGGTTCGCCTGGACCGTGTGCGAGGGGGCAGACAGAAGTACAAGCGGAGGTTGGACACAGAAAACAACCCTTACCTGGGCTTGACGCTCCCCCCTCCCACCAAAAAACCTCGTGAGTACTCCCCCATCACTTACCCATTGTCTCCCTCCGTCGCCACTCCTCCTCTGCCAGGACACCTCGCAGGTAAAACTAAGGTGGCGCATAAGGTCAGACTGATGTTTCCCCTCATGTTTGGACAGTTAGGAATACAGAGGTCAAAAATGTAGCTTAGGTATAGTTCCCTCAGTAAGTTAGCACTGAATTATGGGAAATGTATAAGATGACCGATAAAATGTCGTCAGGGTGCTCGAGGACACCTTCACACATATATTTTTTACCCACTTGCATGCATTCTGTTGGGATGAGAGCTTTTACTGCCTCCAATTCACTCGCACAAATTCAACCCCCATACACCAGTTTGCATAATGAGAGAGGGAAGGAAACAGCGGAAAAGAGATCACATTTTCACCTCTGTTTTTCAATGTGATGCATCTTAGTGCCTGAATGAGCTTTGCCACTATACGACCCTTTACCTCTGCTTTGCTCTAACTCCCCCTCCTCCTTCCTCCTCTATCCTCAGTTACAAAGATAGTGTCTCACCTGTTGGTGGCAGAGCCCGAGAAGATCTACGCCATGCCTGACCCCACCATGCCAGAGAGTGACATCAAGGCTTTGACCACGCTGTGCGACCTTGCTGACCGTGAGCTGGTGGTCATCATCGGCTGGGCCAAACACATCCCAGGTATCAAACAAGTTATTCTCGCTTCTTTCTGCTTCTTTTACGTATAAAAAAGCACTTTTCCCTTTTAATTTAGTTTTCCTCTGTCTCTGCCACACTCTGTACCGATAAACATGCAAGCATAGAGATAATTAATGACAGCAGCTCATACAGCCTCTGGGTGAATGGGGTGGAGGGGGTGCAAAATGGACATAGCTGTGCAAGACAAAAATCAATAGAGTGCATCTAAAACCACTGCATTGAATAGAGAGAGGGACAGTGCCAATGTATGTTGTGATCACCAGGGAGAGTCAGAACAGAGTTAGGGATCTGCCCAATCAAACAACACATCATATCACACACACACATCTGCACACATGAACGCACAGGAGCACTAGCACACACACACATTGAATTATTGATGGGCATAATCATGTTTCTTCCCTGCCCCATAGGCATTCTGATAGACGAGGTGTTAGGTTATAAGAGGCTGTTGAATTAAGGATACAGCACCTCACGTCAGCAGAGATTTTGCTTCCTTCAAGAGTTTTCCTCTGATTTTGACGGAGAACACATTGTTTAGCTGCTTGTTTTTTTTGCAACCGAGGCAGATTCTCCTTGATCTTGAGCTTGACCCCCATAACTCTATAACATTACGGAGCTGTAGGGATGGAGGGGTAACAAACTAAATGAATGTGTCCCTTAGCGGCACCCCTGTAACCCCTTCTTCTCATCAACATAACTCGGACAGGCACAGAGCTGTCAGCTTTCAGGAGATAGGCGACACTGCCGCGGCTCTGATGTACTCACACACACTGTCGGCCTTTCTCTTACACTACCATACAAAAGTGTGCTCATGCTTTGTGGTCTTATCTGTTTTTTTTTTTTTTCAGATGATTAATTTCAATCCCAATTCTCATATTGAATAGGTTCATTTGTTTTTAGCAAAGTGAAGTGGACTCTGGCTGACCTCCCTCGGGCAGGTGCATTTTGTACTGTAAAGGTATTAGAGTACTTCTCAGAAGGAGGGGTATTAATCAGGTACAGATCTGATAGTAAGGAGATTAGAGATGGATATGCTCCTAACCCCCTGGCCTCGGCCCTGGCCCCCATATGCGTCTAAACAGTTTGGATCACTCCCCACGGGCCGTGCATGGTCAGCAGCCTGAGAGTTTAACAGGGAGCTTAGACGGGACTGGATCACAACTGACCTGATAGCACACTCCCATCGATGTGACCCAAAAATTACACCAGCGTCACAGCTACAAAAAAATAACAAGACAAAGAAAACCCCACTATTATCATCCTGTCCCTGCCTCTGGGTTTAGATTTTGGAGCGATGGAGGCATCATCTTATCAGGACAAATACACATCCAAATACCAGACGTCTGTCAAATCCAGCAAGAGTACTTCATCCAAAGCCACACTTGGAGTAATTTTCCCTTTTCTTTACAAATCACAGTTAAAATGTTAAGGTTTGTCATCCTCATGGCATCATCATTTCTGTGTTTGTACATGTTAATTGGATTGTGTTTGTCATGGTGTTGAAACACTGTTAATCAGATTACCCTAACCCGTATTGTACAGTGGACGGATTCATGGTCATGGATAATGATCATATAACTCAAAAACCCTGTAAAGAGATGCACCAAACAATGAGCTGCAAATTTAAGTTAGTGGAGTTTAAGTGTATTACTTTCATATGTTTCTGCTTCATACACTCATGTACCTTTTTTAAACTATATTTATTTTCTTACCTTAAATCATAACACCAAATTTTTGGGGGATTAAAAAGATAATTTGACAGGACAAAGACGTTTGATCCAGCTGACTGCTTGGTCTGCATCTGTCCCTGTGGTAGTGTCTGTATTAGGACAGTCAGTGTCCTCTGGCCATGAAATGGCTGCATAATTGAGTTGTACAAGGCTGAACCTGATCAGAGACGGTTCACTGGTTGAGCGAGACTCGGTGCACTAACACTCCATGCTACGACGGTACCCCAGGGCAGCCTTGCATGCTTGGTTCCTACAACATTTCTCCCTCCCTCCGCTCCGGGACAAGACAGGAACAGGGAGGAGAAAACTGCTGATTACATTCTGATAGATTTTTGCAGCCTTAGGCAATGGAATTAAAAAGATTAACAGTTCATTATGAAGTAGACCACATTGATTAGGCCATTGACAGATGGGCCGATAACTAAAGTCCAAATGTAACAATTTAAATGTCACGAAAATTGGCACTTACCTTCTCCCAATTGATTTTTAATTTCGCCCGTTCTCAGCTAACATTTGAAAACGCGTTTCAAAAGTGGCATAATGGGGAGGAAAGTGGCCCTATTGAGTTTTAATTGGAGGGCGATTGGAGGATATCAAAGTCCTATCATTAGTGTCGATGGTATCTTTGTCTTACTGGGTCCAATGTCAACTTTGTCATCCCGGCTTTATTCAGCAGACTGTGAAAGGTCAGACTGTATGGATGAAGTACCTCTTCAGTTTTACAGTTTTCTTTCTACGTTTCAGATAAAATAAGAACAGGATAAATCAATCAGCTCAGGTGTACTTGTTACTGAACCCTAATGAGTGAGATATTGAAGGTTAGTGTCACATATCGGGATCCTTCATTCCCACAGACTGCAGTCCTGCCCTCGTTCTCAGTCTGCCTTTGATTAATAGATAATCGCTGCAGAGCTTTCGGACACTAGTGTCACTGCTCCAAATAGCACTGTGAAGCAGAGAGTAGCGCGGCTGTTGCCTGAAGGGGGTTTAGGGTCATTAGGAGCTGTGTTAGGGGGATGCTGACAGATGGCTTGTTGCTTCTAAGGTGCTAACAACCTTTGACACACATAGCAGTCCACTGTCCACCCCTCTGGCCCCCGTCCATTCCCATAAAGCCACATTTCACTCTGTTCAAGAGGTTTAAGGAGGAACTCGGTATACTGACAGCTTCAGTAGGCCAGGACCTGTTTACCAACTTGACATTGCTGCCACCTTTTGAGGACTGTCAGAGTATAAGCCTGACCCCTGTGGCCTCATGCCGCTCCACATCCCTTCCCACCTGCGACGGGAATGGCATGTGTTCATATGTAAAACCGCCATGCATGCTGCTTATACAGGAGGTGCTTGTTGTTTGGTGTTTTGTCAGCTCTCGTCCCAGCTTCCCAGGCGCGAGTGTTTTCAGTTGGGAATTCTCCGAAGGCTAAAGGGCCAAGCAAACATTGAGTCTCTGCTGCTGTTGCTGCTTTGCTCCTACACAATAAAACATATTTTTACTCTGGCATGTCGCCCCTTGAATGTAAAATATTTAAACAGCGTTGGAATTTAAATCTGATGTTCAAAAAATGTTTTATTATTATCATTATTATTTAAAAAAAGGAAACCCTTGTTACGTTGTCATATATTGTTTGGTATGAGAATCAGACTGGGTTAATCTAATGAAATAATCTTGTTTGTTTTGTTCTCTTCATTACTGGTGTTTTGGGAATATTCATCATCTGTGCTTTATTGGATTCCAGCTCATCAGCTCCACACTTGACAGACAAGCGCCTAGCGTGTTAGTCGTTAGCATGGAGGCAACGATGTTAAAAGGAGATCGCGCCTCTTGTTCGTTGTCTTGTTTGTGTCAGCTCAACCCTCCAACATAATCACCCACCCTCCCACCCATCAACCAACCCTCCTCCAGCCCCCCTCCGGGCTCCTGTTTTCTCTTTGCCATTAAATTGTGAAATCTACTCACTGTGTTGCCAGCCTGATCCCACTCAAGCTGCGTAATCTCCTTGTAATAGAGTGTGAATACTGCCCAGCAATAAATCAGCACCTCATCAGTGCACTTTATTAAATATAGACACCAACAGACAGCTCTTAGTATATTCAATTTACTCTCTGACGTAGGCTTCAACACAGAAGATAAAGATAGATTGAGCAATCAGGTGGATGCTGAGGCCTGAACCTCAGCAGGAGGAAGACAGAAAAGCTGCAGGGAGATTGAGATGGGGGCGTTTTCGGAGGCAGACAGGCAGGAGTGTGCTGGGCCAGCAGAGGGACATCTGCCAAGCAGGGTGGGGGGAGGGCTTTGTTTAGTTACTGTGACACATGAGCAGGTACATCCAGCATCACAATTATAAGAGTGTATTATTCACATTGCCACATCCTTTAAAACTATAGCATATGTGTGGATCTTTTTTTAATATAAAATTCTATGCAGGAAGATGTAAATGCTGATACGCCTTTAAGTGATCGTCAGCAGAGCGCCATCCCTCATTAACCAGTGTTGCTTGATGGCAGTGCCGATAAATTACATGTAATTATGGCAGTGATTTAAGTCTGATTCGTCCTGGTCTTTGGGGCTAAACAGAGACATGTACTGTCAGTATTGGGCAGTGGGCCCCCTGAGACGGCTAAAGACTTCCCCGTCAGGTCACAGGGTCATAGGGTGCAGATTAAAACAAGGGGATTACTGTATTTAAGGTTCTTCAACCTCATAATGTTCACAGGCTACTGGTCAAATCACCCATTCCCCAGCTACTTAGCATGGGATAATGGACTGGTTATCATGTTGGAAGAAGGCAGATAACCTACCCGCCTGAAAGTCAGAGCTGTAGCCTTACAAAAGAAAAAAGAAAAAGAAAACAAGATTAATTTCCAGTCATCAACCTTTTTTTTTTTTTTTTTTTTTTGTACAAGTCACTTTCATTTGTATTGACATTTTTTTTTCTCTGTATGAAAACAACGTTTCTGTCATCAAATCAGCGTCCTCAAAGAGCTTGCGGCAACCTACCTGTATGTGTTTTACACGTGGCTCGACTTCAGGTCAAATTATTTATGTCAAGCGCAGCAATTTGTTACCAAGCTGCTATTGATTGTGTCCTCCTGACGCTGTCATGTAAATTCAAGAAGAGTCATGGTCCAACGCTGCACACACAAACAGATCCGCACTAAAAGCTTACACACGCACACACACATACACTGTTGTGAAGCCGGTGAAAATTGCCCTTTATTCCTGCATCAGTTATACATCTTTCACAGTAGTGTGTCACTCTGCCCGATCAGAGGAATCTATTCAAATCAGAGGTGCATACATCTTCCTCTCGTCCTTTTTTTTCTTTAAATATAAAGCTTTGATATAGAATAAGCTTATGGCAGCACGATCTTTCAGCTCGGTTTGAGGTTAGGGGAAAAAAAGACGTACTGAACCCCCGGGGTCCTGTTAGGGGCAGTTTTACTCCAACTGGAGCTTGGAGAGCACTTGACTTGGCTGAGGTGAGATTGCCGCTGGGCAGGAGTCTTCGGGGCCTGCTTGTCCTTCTGATAGCCAGCCGTGATAGATCAGCCGCTGTCCAGCCAGAATTACTCTCTTTCCTCTTTCTATCTCCCTCTTCCTTTTCCCCTCATGCTCTGAACTCCTTTTTTTTCAGCTCGCTTCTCTCTTCCTTATCTCCTTCCTCTCTGGCCCATATCTCCTCCTCTCTTTTATCCTCCATTTCTCTCCCTCTCTTGCCGTTTTTTTCTCTCACTCTCCTCTCCCTCCCTCAGTCTGCTCTGTTGTCTGATTGAGGGTGAGTTACGAGGGGGCTGCAGCTGGAGGGGGCCACCGTGCCTCGTAATTACATCTCTTTTTATTACCCGCGCTAATGGCCCTCGGGGAGAGGGAAACAATAATAAATTAATAGAATATGAACTCCAGCTCAACAAAAATCTCCAGCATTTCATTTTGGACCGTCCTGAGCTCTGGCAGATGAAACGGCGCTCTGATTAATCTCTGCGAGGGGTTTGAAGCAGCCGTCTGTGGGTTTGGGCTGCCCCCTCCTGCACACAGCCGAGGGCTTTTGGGGAGATAAAGGCAGAGATGATGGTTTTGGCTTCTGTTGATGGTCTTTAGTGGTCTTGTTTTCACCCTTTGAGCCATGAATGATGATGTGCTGATGCACTCTGTGGATACTAAACTGGTCTGTCGTTTTATTTCTTTGTCACCTATATTTAATTTTGCTCCTTTGTCTCCTCTAAACAGAACATATCTTTCTTTAGTATTCTGAAAGTGAAAATTAAGGCATGTGCTCACAGAGAGAAGAGAGTGCTTAAGTCAAAGTGAACAAAGACAATCTCTGCATTGTTATTAACTCAGTATACAAAGACTTTCTGACAGAAATCTGCCAGTGAAGTGGAAAAGGCCCTTCAAACGTGTAGACAGGTCTCTCTGATTTGGTCAATATTGTGTCATGTTTGGTCAAACCCCGCCAAGGTAGTGGGCTGGAAATGAAGATGTAAATATTGATATTTCATTAGAGGAAATCACCCACTCCGACGGCACTTAACCGGGCCACCTTCAGAGTGCGGCGGCCGGAGCGCAGTGTGACCTGCGGAGTCGGGAAGTCACTTCATTACTCGATTAAATTGAGTGGAAAAAGGCGAGGCAACGACACGAGATCCCATTTGGAGCGATAATTTAGGCCCTGAAGAGAGGGGATGGAAGCCAGGGAAAAACACCACCTCTCCATCTCACAACACTGGATTAAATTCAAGGACTTTTAGCGTCAAAGGTAATTGTAGGCTGCTGGGCTGCATGTGTGCATATGGCTGAGAGGTGTCTGCTGTACGAGAACGACTCTAAAGCCTCTCAAACAAGCCCTGAACAAGGCCTTCACACGGGCTGTCACATTGGGAGCAGCGCTTTAGTTCCGCTTCAGTCCTCCTTGGCATTAAAAGGCTAGACAAAGCCTCGCCTGTGATTGTGATGCCAACCTGATGCGGCAATCAAGACCACGTCCACGCTTGCATGACAATTTCCCTCCGGCCAGTCCACATTCTGTCCGACTTAATGGCCACGTATGCAGACAAGGAAATAACACAAGGGAAGATTTTAAGATGCAGTCTGGATATGTGTAATGGCACAGGCCTTCACAAAATATGGCTTATTGCCTCAGCTGATAATAGCTGAGTGTTTGAGTGCTTTCAGCAGTTTGCTTTGTTGGGTCTAATTTGGGCTCTTCAGACCTCTGACCAGTCCAAAGAGGCCCCAGCACCTTCCTGTTAGCACCCTATTCTAGTGACTATTGATTCCCCTTCAAAATGTGAAGGCCCTCACATTCTGATCCCAATCTGTTAATTAATGTATCCGCCAGCTCTTCCCCTGCAGTGGTCATCACTACGATAAGGGAAATTGAACACTCAGGTGCTCCTCTCTCTGGCTCTTCTTTTCTCTCAGCCCGTCTCTCTCTGCACCTTTTTCTTTTGCACTTTCTTCTCAAGCTCCCTCATCATGTCTACTGTTATGCCCGCACTTCTGTATTTGTGTGTGTGTGAGAGGAGATAAACATCATTCTAGCATGGGATCATTTATATTTAAGAGGAAATGTGTGCCATAGGTGCAGTCAGCGTCCTGGTCAGTACAGTAATCTGTCGCCTCTTAATCACGCCGCGGCAGGAAGAAAGGCGGCAGCAAACTTGTAAAAGCAATCTTATTAATCAGGGGACGGGCTGAGGAGCCTAATATGCTGTCAGAATGGGCCGCCTGCAGGCACACAGTGCAGGAGGGGGGTTTGTGGCAGATAGAGGGGAAAGAGTGAGGGGGGTTCATGCAGTTTATTGACAGCTGAAGGGTAGTATGTTGGAAAAAGGATGAGATCAGTATCTATCAACTATCTGCCACTCACGCTCTCTTTTTGAGTTCCTCACTGGACATTTTTTAAGTTTGTTTTCTATTCTGAGTGCATGCAAGAGCTGTTGAAGGAGAAATGACAAAGATTTGATGTGTCGAAGCTCATCCAGCTGCTGTTGGAATAAGGCTCTGGATTTAAGCTGGTCTTGAACCAGCTGACCCTGGCGCTCCGTCTGCGTGTTCTTTTATGTGCGTGGATTTATGTACATATGTGGAGGTATCATGATCCTCATGTGCACACGTGTGTCTGTCTGTTTTCTTCGTCAACACACGTTTGCGCTTGTTGCTATGTGTGTGAGAGCGTGTGCGTGCTCCCTCATCACCATCTCTTGCTACACAGTGCATGTCATGTCCTCCACCCTCCAATGAGAATGTGTCTTGGTGCTAATCCCCCCTCACACCAATAGAAGTGTGACAGGATACAAAGGGGTAACCACATGGCTTTGTGTATGCCGGACCTTTGCACCGATTTACTGTCCTCACTTACAGTAAAGCCCACTCAAGTGCTGTGACACAGCTTCAAAGAGGACCTTCCGCCGTGCATTTAACATTAAACACCACTTGTTGACATGTGCCTTAGCGTGTACTCCAGGGCAGGGGCTCTACAAGTCATGCTTGGTTCAACCTAAAGTGCTGTATTTTGTCTACTTTTCAATACTTAATTTTATTCTTTAATGTTGGAAATTGTGTAGGATGATCGTTTTGTTTTTAAATATGAACAATACTCCTCGCTCTATACTCCTTTTTACTCACCGTCATTGTTTTCTCGACTTTGTCCTTGCAGGTTTCTCTTCCCTCTCTCTGGGGGATCAGATGAGTTTGCTGCAGAGCGCCTGGATGGAGATCCTCATCCTCAGCATCGTGTTCCGCTCGCTGCCGTACGAGGACGAGCTGGTGTACGCCGAGGACTACATCATGGACGAGGAGCACTCGCGGCTGACGGGCCTGCTCGACCTCTACGTCTCCATCCTGCAGCTGGTCCGCAAGTGCAAGAAGCTCAAAGTGGAGAAGGAGGAGTTTGTCACCCTAAAGGCCATCGCTCTCGCCAACTCAGGTGGGGTTTCTTCTGCACATGGACACACCATAAATAACATTCAGGTGTCATAATTTTTAATAGACACTAATTCTGTACACATTTCAATTAACACTACTTGATATTTTTACAACCTTGAGTTTTTATTTTAAGTATTTGAAACTTCTTCGTGTCTGCAATAAAAAAAATAACTTTTTGAACAAATCAGAGCAGAAAAAATAAACTTAAAAACAAGGTGAAAATATGTATCGATTTAAAGTTACTTACAGTGGAAAAAAACATTTAGCCTCTATGCAAATAAATCTTTAGTCTTTTAGCTTTTACTGAATAATAATGTGTTTTTTTTTCTATTTCAATTTCCCCCCTGCAGTTCTTCTAAATAATGATGATAAGATGTTGTGGTGGGTGAAAAATCTGAAAGTTGTATTGTAATTTTTTTTATAAATTAAGGTAAATAATGATTAGTAAATTTGTTGGTTTTGTTGGCTTAAATATCAAATTTTATGACATGAATACGTTTTTTTTAAAATCAAGACTTTAGATGAAAATGTTAGACCTCCCTCCTCGGACATTTTCATTCTTCCCTGCCTGTCCCTCTGACTAATGCACTCTGGACGGTATAATATCCAGAAACAGTCAGATAATGTCTGACACAGTTCCAGAAGTGACATTTCTTAGTTTTTCCGGAGTTTTTCAGCGTAACCTTTAGTTTGGAGCGTGGGATGGAGAGATGGAGCACGGATAAGGGCAGTGTGTGAGCGGGGAAAAAGAGAGATGGAGGAGTGAGCATTTTTAATTGAACACCTTCTGTGTTGTGGTATTTCTCCTGCCCTCCCTCTACCCCCCCTCTCTTTCTCTATCTCCATAACAGTAGCTGCAGGGCACAGCAGCCACGGGAGATAAATTTAGCATTTCATTAGGAGCACAGGGGCTGTCAATAAAATGTGTTAAGTCGAATGGAATGAGTATCAGGGAGTGATAGGCCTCGTTTGTTCCGATGCCGAGACGGCACGCTGCTATCGACAGGCTCCTTTTGAGGAGGCAGGACCTGTCCTGCTCTGATCAATGCACGCCCGGGTCACTGGGCCGCTTTCCCTTGTTTTGTCCCCGGCTGAAAAATGAAAATGCTGATGCTGGACCTTTGCTTTCACACGACAGGGCTTTGGGAGGGAGGGGGAGAGAGGAGAGCTGGGGGTCGAGGAAGGGGAGGAGGAGGGTGTCCAGAATGTTAGAACAAGGTCTCAGGGAGATCGCTCTCCCGGGAGCGCCTCTGTCTGACAGCTGTGAAAATTCATAGCCATTGATTTTGTAATTAGCAGTTTATCAATCGGATCGACATGGGCTCACTGATGGATTGCGAGGAAATTGTTTCTTCAAAGTTGTTTTTTTAGGTCCACCCCTCCTCCAAGGATTACAAGCTGCGTGCTCGTTGTCTCATGCCCTGTTTTCCTACTCATCTGTGTAGTTATCACTGCCTTTCTATTTATTTTTATCCTTTTTTTTTCGCTGCAAATGAAATCTGAAGCTAATTTTTGCCAGGATGTTAACAGAAAGATTATTTTGATTTGTTAAAATGCGTCAGGTTAGGTCTTGAATCCAGCCTCTGTAAAAAGAACAAGAGATAATTATGTCACACCATATTCTCATCTGAGATTTTTTTCACTTTTTGCCTTTTGTTCTTCCATCCTCCCCCCCTCACCCCCCTCCTTCACCCTCCCACATTCACTTTACAAAACGACCTACTTCATTTTACCACTGTGGATTTGAAAACCGTCAGGGTGAGAAATGTCTCAAGGTCTTGGGAATACAGTTGTTCCAGTCAATGAATTTGGGGCGAAGTCTGAAATCTGTTTTGCCTTTTATTGTCCCGTGTGGTAAAATATGCACCGCCAAGGTGAGACGAGTCAGGCAGCCAATGACACGCCGCCTCCGGAGTGCCAGACACCGGTTAACTGGTGAGAGAAAACGGCGACCCCCAGGCTGTCCCTGAGAGAGGCTGGGAGGTAGAAACAGAGGTAGAGGAAGAAGGGAATGAGAGCGACTGAAACATAATGTTCAGTGGAATCAGTAAAAAACGGTGGCAGTACGACAAACATTATAAGAGCGAAGTCACACACAAGGGGCGAGGACTGGAACTAGAAAATGCTCCAGAATCAGCCAGGAGGATGGGGGAATTTAGGCTGAATGAATCTGAAGAGTCTTGGCTGTTTAGTTCACATTACAAAAATAAAAGAAAGAGGACCTTCTGTGAGGAAAGAAAAATAAGACACAACTTAAACAGGAAAATTTTGCATTACAGTTTTTAAGAGCTACATTTAATACCAGGCTTTTATGATGTACTTGAAAAAAACCTCCCAATTCCTTTTAAGGACAGAAGGAAGTTAAATTGAAAGAGGTGTTTCTTTTCTAAAGGAGCTCCCTCTTTTTAATCTTTCTTCTTTTTTTCTTTTTGAAAACTGTCGCTGGAGCAGCGAGGACTTTAATGTGCACTCACTCAGCCCAGATTGGGTGCTATTCATGCCATTGTTACTGGAGGATAGCATTGATTTTCAGTCTCACTGGTCAAGGGCCATATGAATACCCCACCCATTCGCCCACAGATTAAATATATAAATAAATAGAATAAAGCAGATGTTGTTTTTTCTTTTTATGATCCGTTCTTTATCTTGTCAGGGTGTGAGTTATACTGATAATGTTCTTTCTAGCCAGCAGCTTCTGACAAAGCAGTAAAGATCAGTCATGATATTTAATTTTGCTTTAGAAAAATCCATTTAACATCACCGCTGTTCTGCTGTAAACTACAGAAACTTTTGAGTTACTTTTTTCATTTCTATATTTGAAAACCCATCCCTTACTCTTCTGCCGACAGACTCTATGCACATAGAGGACATGGAGGCGGTCCAGAAGCTCCAGGACGCGCTGCACGAGGCCCTGCAGGACTACGAGAGCAGCCAGCACCAGGAGGACCCACGGCGGGCGGGCAAGTTGCTCATGACGCTGCCTCTGCTGCGGCAGACGGCCACCAAGGCTGTGCAGCACTTTTACAGCATCAAGGTGCAGGGCAAAGTGCCCATGCACAAACTCTTCCTGGAGATGCTCGAGGCCAAGGTCTGATCAAGGGAGGGGATACATCTAGAGACTTGAACCAAGCCAGGAGAGTGAGACCCCCCGCTGACTGAAGCAGGACAAAGACCAAGCTCTTTTACTCCTACCCCTGGAACCCTGGACTCTAATTAAAAAAGAACAAATGCAAAACTTGGTTATTAGTATAAATATAAAAATGATGCAGATTAATTTAAAATATATAAGAAATACTATGTACAGTAATAATTTTTTTGTTTTTTGTTAATTGTCAGTTGTCATGCTGTAAATGTAGAAGGACCCTGCTGCCCCTCAGCATCCTCAGAACAAGTAGTTGCCAGATCTTGATAACAAGAAAAAGCGTTTTCTTTATAAACTGTTCTGAAGAAGGCTGAGGTGTTGACATCCATAAACAGACTCACTTGTCTCAAAGCTGTGTGTTTCCCTGGACTTTACCAGGATATGTACATATTTATTAATGGACGACTGAGTGTACAGTTCAAAGTCTGGTGACCTTGGTGGCCATTTTTCTTGTTCTCCTTCTGGAAAAAAAAAATGACCTAAATGTGAACTCTTATCAGTTTAAATGTACTTGGATATACCTCTCAGAGCAGTAAGCCGTGTGATCTTTGTGGATCTGTCTCAGACTGGAAGACTTGCTGGTCCCATGTTTAACCAAACTAGCATAGGCAGGTACAAATAGTCCGTCATCTTATTCTGTAGTAACACAGCAATAAAAGGAGCTGTAGGCAAAACAGGTTTAACCTCCAGTCGTTCATGTGCTTTTCAACACTGCTGTCGCTGTAAGACCGTGCCTGTGAGTCTCAATCCCACCAGTTTGACACACCACTGCACTGCTGTTACACACTAGTGTTCCTCCCCTCCTTGTGTTGGTGCTCTTCATGCAATCCATTGAACCCCAAATTTGGTCGTTGTTTAAGCCCGTGGAATTGCCTCTTGGCATGCAAATAGATGACCTGATTCACGCTAGGTGAAAGATGATCAGCAGGTTTGGCGTTGGCAGTATCAAAGGATTTATGCGGAGTGGCATACATCCAGGAGATTCCATGTTCAAACAATCAGAGGCCCATATGTCAACCGCTCTATTTTGGGCCCCTTTAAGCCCGTGGCAGAGTCATCACACACACAGGGAGCAAGGTGCCCAGCATCTGCTCTCACCATTTTAGACACCTCCCTTCTTTTAATAGCTGCGCCCGCATTTATAGAGCTTCAACCAAACGGAGGTAAACGGCAGGTGCAGAGCGGGAGTGGTGGCACTTCACACTGGGTTTATTTTTAACCCAGCGGGAGGTTGTTGTCTGTGCAGCCTCCCTCCCTCCAGGAGTACAGTAGACACGTGAATCACTTCTTCTTGACCTCATGTTGACTCAGTGGCCAGTGCAGAGCAGAGTAACACCCTCCACACCAGCCAGGAGGCGGGCGGGTATCTGCGAGGAGCCCTCAGGATGCCCAAGCATGCACATGTGAATAGCTATGCAAGAAATCAAGTGTCAGCAGCAACAAAACAGTGTGTCAGTACAAGGTGTGATCTCTGGTGGGAGACACAGATCTCCCTCTCTCTGTATTCAGCTCCATGTCCACTGCGCTGGGTGTGAGTAACACTGTAGCCCGCTCCACTCGTTTCCGTGTGAGGGGGGGTGTCGGAGGTGAATGCTTATACTACTGAAGGATTTTATGTGATGTGATAAATTGTGGCGCTGTCACAACAATATGATACTGTGATCAAAGGAATCCCTGACATTGCAGTAGGGTTGAGTTGCCACCATGCTTGTGATATCACTAGCTAGCACTGATCCTGCAGCTTGATTGGCCACTTTATGGAGGCTGCCCAGACCCACTCCAGCACCCGATCACTGCGACTTAAAAGAAACCACTGTTCAGTTAAGAAGCTCTGCTGTAGAGGGTGACAGTATAACTTGAGTTATTTAACTGTTGTGCAATACAACAGGGACCAATTCTGACTGAAACCATGCTCAAGGCATGCTTTTACTTAGATTTGGGAGATTTACGTGCTAGGAAGCAAAATAATCTAAATCCCTCTAACCACAAAAATGAATCGTGTGAATCTGAAGATCTGATTTGCTCCTCTGATAAAAGACTTTTTTGCTTCTTTGAATAAGAGTGCAGTATAAATAAAAAACTTTTGCAGAAAATCTTTACAACTAGAATTTTGTAGTGGCCCAACGTGATCAGCCATAACAATCATAAACAACGGGAGTCCTCTTTATCTCCCTGTTCTTCCTCTTTCCTTTCAGTATGGCACTGTGTTACGCAAAAGAGAACATGTCTTACATTACAAGCTGTGTTTAGTGTGTAAATATATAAGCGTTGATACAGTAGGTTGCCGAAATACCATTGAAAATAAAGTATGCAGCGCCCTGCTGACTACTACCTCATTATAATATTGTCAATATTTCACTGATTCCTCACATCATCCTCATGTGTGCGTGTGTGTGTGTGTGTGAGATAGAGAGAGACATACCTGAGCCATCCCTGTTTTTACCCCACACACTGCTCTCCCCTCAGTGCTCCTGCCAAAACATTTGTATTGTAGTTATCAATCTGTTCCCATTCATTCTTTATTGATCTGTTTGTAAAGGTAAAGCATGCTACACGTCGATCACATGACTTGGCCACCCCCCTCTTTTTGGTAACAAAGCGGGTACGTGTTTTTATGAACATCAGTGTGTCAGAATTGGTCCCTTGATTGATAAGTTGCAGACAGAGGCAGGTGACTGATTTCCTGCGTCTGTGCTCTGAGTATTTATGGTGTGAAATATATCATTTGGCAATGGTGTACATTGATATCTCTGATCGTTAAATCACCAATATCTGTGTAACTTTTACGTTTTGATTTTCAAAAAGGTAAAGGATCAATGAATTAAATACTCCCTGAACTCTGTGATTCTTTTGTGGTTTAACTCAAAGTTTGTTGTCAAGAGAGATTCAAACTGTTTTGGGGTAAAGTTGAGTATTATTTTATTTATGGTACTTAATAACCAGAAAAAGCCACACTGTGTAAGTTAACGGTTGATAGCAGCTTCGTGAGGCTTCTCATGTGAATGTCAGCATACTAACACACTGACAGTGCTGAGTTTAGTCTGCTAAATTCATCCTAGCTGAGAGTGTTAGCATGTAAATATACAGGGCGCCTTAGCTGTACATTTCATACAGCTCCTTGAAGCGGATTTTCTATTACATAACAAAGCTGAAGAGCAAAAGCAATAGCGATTTTATTTATGTTGCAGTTTTATTACAGGTAGGCCCAATATGAGAATAATAGTTATTAAGACATTTCACTTAAAGGAACAGAGATATCAGGAGAATATGCTCTCTATGAATCATGCATTTGAATGAATTTTAAAGGTTCTCCAGTATATCAAGTAAGCTCCTGTATGCATTTCAACTTTAATTCATCAGATTACAGAGATGACCAACATACAAGCTAGTCTTGGGGGTCTCTTAAATGTTTCAAGACGCGTGTCTGGAAAAACTCCTTAACATGTGTTTTCTAATTTCAAACAACAGAAATCACAACAACTTTTATAAAGTAGGAGTTTTAACAAGATGTAAGTGAATCCAAGTTACTTTTTCACTGATTTGCAGTGCACAAAATCCTGAGGAAGAAGAAGGTAAATGACACTGTGTTACAGGTAATACAACTATTTTTCCTGGTATTTTTCTGATGCTTATATTTTTATTTGGCAAATATTTCAAATTTAAATGTGCAGCACATTATTTTGTAGACAGGTCTACATATACAGTAACGTCAAATGACTCTTGGTTTTCTGCAACACAACTGTATTCTTCTTAGTATCTGAAAAGTCAATCCTGAAACATAAAGTTTCCATGTTGAGAAAGTACCCAGGATTAGCGCAAACTGACCTGTCGGTGGAGTAGAACAAAATGGAGAGGATTGATAAATGATGAGGAGAGATCCTCTGGAGACCATGAATGTCACAGACAAATGTCATTGAACCAGCTGTTGTTGAGATACTGATGTGTGCTGAGCATCCAATAGGTATAACGTTCAATTAACAAAAGAGCTTGCACTTAGAAGAGTCTCACAATTAACTTTAAAGGTTGAACTTTTTAGAGCAACCGTTCAAAAAAATATTGTATTTATTACATAAATGTTTTTTTGTTACACAATGAGAGAAATTTTCATTATTTCAAGATTTTTTTTAAAGGGGTTAAAAAGTTGACTTGATGGCACCGGGGCCTCTTTAGCATAATCCTGTCCCTTGTAGTATAACAGGTTTAAGAGTAGAGCTCACGTTAGCCCCTATGGTTCACACGCTTAATCCTGAGTTACTACCCTGGCATCTCTGCCAGAGGGTACAGTTTGCTGTAAGATGAAAGAAATAATGATAAAACCACTATTATTATGTTTTATAAAGTAGAATCTTACTTCTAAATACATTTTGTAGTGAGTCATCTAACTTATTTGGCTAAGTCAGTCAGTCCATACATTTCATATGAACACAACAGGGAAGTAAACCAGATACGAGCCTAATGCCGACAGGAAAAATAAAAAAAAAATAATGTACGGCTTGACCTTAGCGGACCTCCAAATATCTGCGGACTGGCAGATATTTCACAAACACTTTTTTATTTTTATTATTATTTTTTTCACAACTTTACCATCTTAAAAAGACTTCTTGTGTTTAGCAAGATAATGACTGACCTGGCAAAATACCATTGGTGCAGCCTTACTCTTAGTGTTAGGCCTGGAGAAAACTGACAGCTTTATAACTCACTGACTCTTTAACTTTAACACATTTAGAGTCCTTTGAGCTGTTCTAGCAGGGAAATCAGTTTTATAGCATTTGAGCACAGTCTTGAAACACCAACATGATTGATGGACTTTGAATTTCAATGCACAGAAATATTAATAACCCTGTTGTTGGCTTGTAGTTTCAGTCATGTAGCTTTATTTATTGGTAACTACTGTGGTGATCTACAATTTGGATGCGAATAAGCACAGTGGGCAGTTAGCATCCTACAGTATGGTGCGGTTTGGCAGAATCTTGGTCCAGAAAATTGTGATTAAATGGGTTAGCCGTTATTCAACCTCTTGACCAGGGCAAAGTGTAACAGGTAAAGGCATGCAGATGCTAACCTGTGAGGAGGACTAAAGGCTAGGGGGTGATAGCTCTGCAAACCATAGCAAAACTTGGTACACCAATTTTGTTGTTGTTTACCTGCAGACTCTACGATCCTGTGTTTAGCGATGTTGGACTAACTGTACCTTGTTTTGACTTTTTGGTGAGTTTTTTCTTATGTTGACACCGATGAGTTGGTTGGAATTTAAAATTTCGATTTAACCAACATGCAAATCAGGACATACCAAATTTAGTCATTCACCATGTGTAGCCAGCTGTACCCTAACTCGTTCCCTCGCTCGGTATTTTAACTCATTCTTTCCCAGCCGTTCATGCACATGGATGGACAAGAAGTTCAACTAAAGGACAAAACAAAGATCAGATCTTTGCTCCCAGCTGACCGCAGATACTTTTTGCAGCGAGTGAGGTGAGCCAGACAGGGATTCACACAGGCCACCCAACCACCCAGTCATCCACAGCATATGCAGGGCCAGGAGCTGTTGAAAATGGATCCGTCACAGGAAACAGGCAGACAGACACGCTAACGCTGATGGTGGTGGTGGTGGGGGTGTGTGGGGGAAGCAGGGAGTTGTGGCTCCATTATTTCAGGAAGCTGATATTCCAGGGAGTTAAAGTATTCCCTTCTCTATATAATTATAAGAGCCAATTTCCCTTTTTGAAATAATGTCTCGCTAACCAATTAATTGTAATAATCCTCTTCGTAGAAACAAAAGCACCACAAGACAAGAAAGAAAATGAAAAAGAAGATTTTGAGGCCCACACAAATAAAATGTAGAGCACGGCTGCCAGACGCAGTATTTTTAAAAGCAATGTGCTGCTCGTTTCTCATGCAAATCATCCGGTTGGGCCAGATATTGCCATCAATAAGTTTCCCACAGATACAGTAGCGAGGCAATCATTTACCTCCATTGACAGGTCAAAACACCTTTCATTAGAGTTACGAGGCGTCTCATCAAGATGCGGCCGCGCTCGCAGCTGTACGACTGCTGTGTATTGCTTAAGTGTGTTTCATTATTCCCAAAGCAGCGTTGATGATGGCGAGGGAAAGGATTACACGTCAGGGTGAGTGATTGGGTTTGAACAGAGCTGCTGCATACACTTTGTATCAACCCAGGGCTCAAATTACACTTAGGATGAAAACGGAGCACGCAAATGCCCAGGAGAGCTTGTGGCACAGAAATGAAGAGTGGGCCACCACCACCATCCCCCTCTTATACACACACACACACACACACACACACACACACACACACACACACACACACACACACACACACACACACACACACACACACACACACACACACACACACACACACACACTTTTCATCTCTTTCTATTGTCAAATTCTCTTTTGACCCTCCTCCCCATGCTCTCTTCCTTGTTTTTGAGACTCAGCCATCCTTTATGGGCATTCTTATTGTTCCTCTGATTCTGTTATGTGTATTTATTGCTCCATTTGTGAAATTGGAGGCACCGGCCGACAAGCCTATTACTATTCAATAACAGGAGCCGGGCATTTTCACAACCGTGGGCTATCAATGTCCCAGACAGAAACGTTACGTCACATCAATTTCAAACAGCAGACGGATTGTTCGACTGTTGTTATGGATTATATTGGAGTGAAAAAATTCAGCCACTTTCCAGCAACATCCAATCTTCAACAAAAAGGACATCAAATCAGCCAGGGAGCGGATCTGTTTCCTCATAGATCCTGGTTACTACTGTCCTCTTCCTACCTGTCCCACTGGCCGTATGTGAGCCATACACCCTCTCCACACCTCTGACCCTGCCCCAGACTCTCTTTGGCTGATCAATAGACTGTCAAAGTGCCTAGCAGGCACACGGGCCGGGGGCCATCTGAGATTTCGCCCTCTCATGGTCCATCTTCACTGTTTTAAGTGCATTTATCAGGTTACACACAGCGGCTCTCCTCACCACTCGATGCAAGGCTAAGTGAAGCTGTCCTAAAAAACCTTAATGGCCACGAGTGGACCTTTGTCCTAGTTTGTTAAATTACTCTGGTTACAGTTTTCATCATGTAATCACACAAGGATAAGTGGGGATGTGAGATATGGAGTCTTCTAAGCTGATACTCATAACCTGTAAATAATGACGGATGATTACCTGCTCCTGATGGCCAATATCAAATAGATCAACAATTCTTTATCACATTTTACACGTTTCTGACTGTATTTGTGTTATCATCTTCCAAATCATTTGAAGATTTCCACACTGGAAATACTATTTTTCACTCATGTGTCCTCTGTTTTTTGCTGCAACAAGTGAGATCTCGCAAGACGTCAAAATGACACTTTGGTTGTACACCAGATCATTTTATATCTTTTATCCCTTTAAAAATGTCAAGATGTGAGTCTGGGTCGCACTTTGGTCCTGGTCGCTTACAAAGACCTATGCTTAACAGTTTCAGCTGATACACGAAATTACATGAAACCAAAATCCCTCAGAAGTAAAGTCTCTAAGGAGGAAAAACGAAGCCCACCACCCAGGCGCAGCCTCGCAGGATGCCTGACCCTCCTTTGCTGCAGAGATTCACAGCTTTGAGCTAAAAATCTGTGCACTTTTGTTCCTTTACACTTAAACACTGAAAGAATACAACACAACCATGAGGAAGCAAGCAGGTAATAAACTGTAAAAACACACACATGCACACACACACTAGATAACTGCATGTGAAGGGTTTTGTTCCTTCATTTGAGATTTATTTGCCTGACTGTATCTTTATCTGTGCTGCTCGCTGATATGAGGACTGTATGTT